CTGCAGGTGAGGTAGTCACAGGTTATGGCATATGCCTTCCAACCCAACAAATGCCAAGGCTTTGAACCGAAACAGATAAGGAGAAATAAATTGTGAAAGAGGTGAACTACAGGCTGTGTTCACGTTATTTTGTTTGTAATGAGCAATGTTATTTTTATCCCTGAGGTACTATATGAGCTTTTGGGACAACGGCTTCCCTGTTGTTCATCTGTCTGTCTTCATACATATTTGAAAGATCCTTCTGCAGGGTTTGAAAGATGAATTGTCAGAGTTTGTGTTTAATGTTTTCAAAGAAAAGATCAGAGGAATTTTTCCGTTTAGAGAGGATATTGAATTAAAAGCATGAAAGCAGAATTCCCCAAATAATCACTTCTGTGTGACTTTCCTTGTAAAGTTACTTGTGGTGAACTGAAGCAAGAGGAAAGTAGCGCTCAGTATGGGTGTTTTAAAAATAAACCCTGACTCAGCCAGGGTGAGTCAGGGCTGTGCAGGGGGATCCCTCTGGCTGGGCTGGGGTCTCACCCGCTGCAGCTGCCACAGCCACGATGGTGTCGGCGCGGGGGCAGAACAGCCGGCTGCGGTGGGGTAAATTCGTGTCTGTTCTGCAGAGGAATTGGCCCAGGGAGGAATAAATGGGGTGTCAGAGTTCTCCCTCAGATGTTCAGCAAACACAGGGCTCCTCAGCAGAGCAGGAGGATGAGTCCAGCTTGAGGAGTGACCCCGTTCGTCAGAAGAGCAAGAGGACCCCGGGCTGAGCAATCCCAGTGAGCCCTGTGAAAAACGCCAGTCACTTGCTTAAAAATTTTAGAAGTTTAATAGTAAAAATGGCTATAAAAATAGTAATACAAATTAGAGTAATAAGAATCTGGACAATTAGAGTTAGGACAATAAAGGACAATAAAAAACCAAAGAATTACAGACGTCTGGATGTTCTGTCCTGCAACAGAACACACTTTGCTAACAAAGGATTAACTCTTACAAGCAATAGCCTGTTGCATATTCATATATCTCATACATGATGCAAACATTCTTTTCAAACAAAGGGTGTTTTCTGGTTATTGTCAACTTCTTCCCTCATCTTGTAAATCAATTGTTTTGGTACCTCGAAGTCTGGTTCTTCCTGATAAGGAGGCAATAATTCTTCTCTTGAGTTCTTTGGAGTCTAGTTAGAAAAAGTATCTTACATTACATAGTTTCTGCAGCCTAAAACTATATTCACTACACTACTTAAAAAAATTAGTATAGCACTACCAAAAAAGGATTAATACAACATAACTTTCCAACATAACACATACAGTATTCATTTTAATATTTGCAAAAAGCCAGTCATGTAATATGCATTTTTCACAGCCCTGTCTGTGTCCAGCAGGATCACTCATTGAAAGGGTCCCACTGCACATGTAGATAAGCCATCCCATAATGCCAGAATTGCTGGATAAATAGCAGTGTGGTTGCAGCCTTCAAATCTTGACAAGGAATGCACCATCCTGGATGATTTGTTTATGTAGCAGGTAAAGCTCCACTGGAGGCAGGCTCTGTCCATGTCAGGCACCTTCCAGCAGAGAGCACAATGCCTACGGAAACAGCTGGAGTTTTACATTCTGCTTACAGGCTGCTCCTGTCACAGAGCTTTTAAGTTACCTGTGCTAATGAAGAATAATTCATATTCACATTTGTTTTTCAATGGACATCATCATATGATAGATTGTATTACTTATTAAGCAGTAATGCTTGTGAAAAGTGACTCTCAATGCTTTTAATCTTGGAGAAAGGGAAATCTTTCTATCAGTTGCTATCTCAATGTTTTTGACATATTTTGCTTTTGCAGTAATGTTGGGAATGTAGATGTTCTCAGATAAGGTTTTAAGTTTTGTGTTTTGAAATGAAAAATCATGAAAGCATGTACTAGGAGGAGGTAGGAGTATAATTTAAATGAATCTTAATTTTAGCGTAATTAATTTTTTTTTTTCCTAAGCTCTGGAACAGGCTGGGGAGTTTGCAGGAACAAATACCTGGGAAACTGATGGAACTGTTGATACTGAAATTTAAAGCCAACTCATAGAAAGTAATTAAAGCCTGTGTTTTTCCTGCATGAGGGAGGAAAGTGAGGGTTGTGTGAAAAGTCATTCACTGTGTGTGTAGGTGTACTGCATTGTAATACGGGATGGCTCCCTCAGCTTCATGCAACAGATTAATCCCAAGTGATAGGTAAGCACTTTTCTTATCTATGTTGGCATTCGAGATGATCCAATTCCACTTTGCTGTTTATCTTTGTGAGGTCTGTGGCAGAGGTTGCACAGATCAGTCCCTTAGGCCTCCTTATTTAACACGGCAGGTTCTCTTGTTGTGACCCAGCATTGGCTGTTCAGGAGTTCAGCACTGAGGGGGATGCTCAGAGCTGCTGGTGTGATGAATTAGAAAACTTGACTGGGGAAATGGCCTGGCTGGGAGAGAAAGAAGGATAAAAGTGCTTGATTCACTGTAGGGCTTGACTGTATGAATTAGGACAATGGTGACACTTTGGGCTGCAGGGAAGTAGGAATTGTAGGTGAAACTATGGATGAAGAGCTTCTGAGGGCTGCGCAGACTGTGGAACCTGGAGTGTGGCTGAAGGCAAAAGGACAGAAGAAGAGGAGCTGTCCTGGAAGGGACCAGAAGGGCTTGCCAAGGGTGATTCTTAGAGGAGAGGTGAGGAGAGGGCCATCAGACCACAACAGTACGATTATTTAGGAATGCTTGTGCTTCAAAAGGGCTGGAGAGTCAAGTAACGCATTGGAGAAGCATTGCATTGTTCCATGAGCTTGTAGGAAAGAGGCTTAATTGAGAGCTGTGTTGGTATTTTAATGTGACTTGAGTATGGCTTGGAAGCTTGAACCTACTACCTGCTTTTTGTCATTCTCTATTTTTAAGTTAGAATTAAACTTTTTAAGGCCTGGTATGTGTTTGTTGAGTAGCAGGGTTAGTGATGATCAGTTGAGTGATTGCTGTTGGTAGTAGAAAAAGTGTCAAGGACTATGTATTGTCATGAATTATCTGGACAAGTATTTTTTTGCTCCTCCAGCATCTGAACAACCCTGAACATAAAGTGGGTTGTAGGCCAGAACTTGCCTTTGGAAGAATTTCTCCCAAAGTTATTGCTGCCCAGGCTCAAAGTCTTGAGCCTTATTCAGTGTGTGATTCCTTTTTTGGCCTTTCTATTCCAAAACCTCAAAAGGCTTCTATTGGTGTATGAACTGCTTGTTGGTACAGTCTTTGTGGATAAATAGCATTTCTATTTAGAGGCTTTTTGGCAGTTTTTACTGTCTCTTAATTCAGATTGAAGGACATGATCTCATTAAGATTGCCTGACTCTGATACTGATAGAGAAAGAACAGGTGAGCAGTTCTAGGAGAAGTAATCTCCCTCTTGATTCTTTGAGTGATCTTCCAACCTGACTTCTTAGCTCACTGTGGCCTGAGGCAAACAACTTGATTTTCTTCCTCAATTCTATCAAGTGATGTCAGACTGAGACGGCTGTTTCTACAGTGAGACTGGAGGAAATAGCAGATGTCAGGAGAAAGAATGAAGGAAAAAAATGCAAAAAATTTGATAAGTAGCTCATTTGGGGTTTATAGGTACCTCCTTCTTATATTTTACATTTGCACTCTTGAGAAACACACATAGGTCTGAGACTGTGTGTTTTGTGGAGATGTTGTAGCTGGTGCTTTGAGCGCCTCAGTTGCTTTGCTTGGACACCAGTGGTGTCTGATGTTCTTACTAAACCTTAATATGGTCTGTAGCTTTCTGCACAGTGATGAGGCCAAACAATCAGCATGCAGCCTCCTGTGGTTTTTCACTGATTTTTTCTTTTTTGTTTTGTTCGTGCTTGTTTGTACAGTTCTGTAACTGTACAGTTTGTACAGTTAATGTTCAGTAGCAGAACATTGTTCCCAAGTGTCAGGACAACAAGGTTTGTGTTACCTCACTCTGTCCTTGGAAGGCATGTTACTTCATGTTAGCATGTAACAGGAATGTTACTTCATTTAGTAATTCAGCCATGAACTAGGCACCAGCCAAACAGCAAAGGTTTTTAGCTTTTGTCTCTGTTGCTTTTACCCTGATAATTCAATACAGCACTTTGTTTTTCAGACTAGTTTGATGAGTGCTGCAGTTCAGCCCAGGTTTTTTGCAGCATTAGTAGGGAAGTATCTCCAGGTTCTTGGAGGAAAAATACGGCAGAAACAGCTGTGGTATTCCAAAATTTGAATCTGCCTTCTTGGGTTTTGCTTAACTTCCAGGAGAGGAGATTTTTTCTTCTTCAGGGATCAACTTGGCAGGAGTTCATGGGGGACTCTCCTGGCAGGTAAAGGTGCTGATCTTCCAGGACAGCCAGACCCAAGCAGGTGTAGTCCTTCCAACATGCAAGAAGACAAACAAACACGGTGGGAGGCAAACAAGCGTGAGCATGGAACTGTTGTTTGAGCTCAAACACAAGCAGGAAGCATCAGGAAGGTGGGAGTGGTATGAATGGCCAAGAGCAGTACAGAAATGTTGCCTGGGGAAAGCAGGATGCAGGCAGGAAATCTAGAGCTCAGCTGGAGTGAGGGATGTGAAGAGCGCCCAAAGCAGTTCTGAAAGTGCATTGGTGCAAGAGGGAGGCTAAGAAAAATTTGGGCACATTGCTCTGAGCACCTTTTGACCAAAGACATGGTGAAGCCAGAGGTATTTATGAGCTTTTCTGGCCTTGTTTTTTAGCTGAATAAACAAATGCTTGTTTTTCACTGGCAAAACCAGGAAGTTGTACTTATGCCCCTCAGTGAGGGATGAGTGAATGGGAAGAGCTGTCTGATTTGCATTCTGACGTGGGGAGTGACATCAGCTGAAACCCGTGCTGTGGGTCATACCTGCAGCCTGCTCCGAGCCAGGCACGCACAGGCAGAGCAGCCCACCAGGGAAGGAGCTGCCACGTGGAGCATGAGGTATGGGAGCTTAGTATGTCATTTATGCTGGGTGAGGAAGAGCAAGTTTGTCTATTGTGCAACATTTATTTGCAGTTTCAAATATTTGATTGGGCATTTTAGGGTTTTTCTGGAGCAGAGCTTTCCCAAAAGATGGCGTACATGAAAATTTTGGCCTTTGAACAGAGCAGCACACTTGGAAAATGAATTTATTCTTCTGTAAACAGCAGACACGAAATAATTTGGTAGGAAATGTCAGCTGGTAGATCTAAGTGAGGAGAACATCCAAAAGCTAGGAAGTTGAGGGTAACTGGATATTGGTGGAGAAACAAGGCTGCACAAATAATTTCAAATTTTCAATTATCTTCCAAAAAAGAGGATATGGGGAACAGAGTCTGGGTGAGGAGGGTGAGCCTGAAGAACATAGTGTTGGTGATTACAAAGGTAAGGAGGTTGTGGTTTCATTTCTCTTGCTACTGGTCAGAGTTGAAACATCTTATTTCATTCAAAAACAAATGGAGGTTCTGCCAGAAGCTGTAGTATGAGGGAAAAAGGTGTGTAGAGTCACAAGAGAGATAAGAAGGCGGGTAACTAGAGAAATAAAGCAGAATTATCTGCAGGTAAAAAGAGATTAATACCAAAACCTGTACATGTGATTGGAGATTCTGCATCAGTTATGGCCAGAGCAAGCAGGCTTGTAAAAATCTGCAAAAGAAGTTCAAAGAAATGGATGTGTAGAGGGTGATGGGTTCTGTAGGAATGTTACTTTGACAAGGTCAGGAAGCATGCTAGGAGAGCTAAGTTCAATAAACAGTTCATGGACTGGCTCTATATGGAAAGGTTTAAATATTTTTTCATTACCATGGGAGGACCTTCTTAGGCGTTTTTTTAACTGATAAATCTCAGCTGAGTCCCTTGGACATTATCCATCCATGCTTAAGTTTACATTATAAGAAAAGCCTTAAAATGGTGAAGAACCAAGAGAAACATAGTTAAAAAGGGGATCTTGGGCAGGGGAAATGTTGTTCTGAGTAAGATGATATCTGAAAGCAGGTATGACTCCAGGATGGCTAACAGAGATGAGGAAATGGAAATGAACATATCAAAACTGAAGTGAAATTTGAAAAGCTTTAATGTATTCCCTTCAGGCAGGTGACTCTAACTAGCTAATCTCCATCTCAGTATGCTGAAAATAATGCTACATGTAATTAAGAATTTTGGAGCAAAGATTTTTTTATCCATAAATTTTACCAAATTATTTGTGATATTTTATCTATAAATTTTACCAAGTCTTGATATATATTAGAAGAAATGTAAAAAAGATTTTACCAAAAAAAAAGCAAAAATTATCCTATAACTATAACTATACTATAAAATACTATAATACCAGCATTGTGATCATTAGTGTGAAAGTTTAAAAAAAGAAAAATCATCAAAGATGGAGATTAAGATATTAAATATAAGATGGGTGTTCAAAAGATAGCTTGTGCTGTTAGTCAGAGCTTTATTTCTTAAAATTATTTATTTCTGCCTAAAAGAGACAGTAATTTTCATGTCTACACTAGTAACTTCTCTTGGGTAGCTCTAACAAGTAGTTTATCAGGAGACATCAGGATTGTGGGAAATATCAAACAAGAAACTGCCTAGAAAAGCTGTCAGGAGATAATTTACTTATGGAGTTCTTGGCTAATTGATTTCTTAGTAAAATGAGTTAAAGGTTCAAATGCATAATAGGCAATGGAAACTCAAATTTAGGCAATATGGACCAGAGTAGGGCAGGAACACAATGGCTCTTCCAGTCTGAAATAACAGGAATCTTTAGAATTGTATGGAGGACTTTGTTTCTCAACCCCAGTTTCCTGGGAGGATAGAGCAACCCTCTCCATTTTGGTCTCCAGCATATCAAGACTGAGGAGGCATTTTTGGTTTTCTTTAGCCTTAACCCCATGGAAAAACAAAGCATCTTGACTGGAGAAGCAGCATAACCGCATCCCTATGGTGGTGTGCTCCCCATTAACTAGGGATTTCCCCGTGGCAGTGCTGTGCTGCAGGGATAATTGCATCCTGGGAAAACTGGCCCTACCAGGAAGGCTGCTGCAGGAATCCCTGCGCTGCTCCGGCAGCCAGGCCATTAACACGATGCTGTACTTAAACTAATGAGACTTGGCTGACCTAAATGGCTTGGCCCAGAGCCACTGCAGGGGTGTTTGTGCCTTTGGCATGGCTCACCCACAAACCTGTATAATCCACCTGCAGACAATGGACCGTGCCTGCTGTAATCGAGCCCTCGAAGGCCTCTGTAGCCAGTTCTTTCCAAGATGTGTAAGCTCTTTCTGTCTGTTTTGTCTCCACCCTTATCTGCTGTATTCACACTTGTAAATTTACATGAATATTTGTGTACCTATATATTAATGTTTTGCTTGGGAATGGAGTCTGTAAGTGAAGCAAGAGAGTAACTCTTTGAAGATGTAAGCAACAGTTAACATTGCCTGGGTAAACCTGCTTAGCCATTTTACCTGTGAGACGAGCAGTAACCTCTTTAGCTGGATGCCCTGCTTCTTCTCAAACAGTTCTGCTTCAAAACCAAAACCAAGCATAGAGCTGGCCCTGCAGGGTTAAGTGCAGTGGTGTTCTGTGCTCGGGGTGGGGACCCTGCTGTGCTGCTCTGCTGCAGGCGCTGCGGATGCAGCAATTCCTGCTGTCCTTGGAGCAGCTCAGCAAGCCCAACAGCAGAGACCTTTGTCATGCTGAGGATTCACATGAAACCACCATGTTCACACAAAAACAAAAAAACAAGCAACACCAGGAAAGGCAAGATTCAACAGAGTAAATACAGTGGATGGGGCCCTGGGCTGCAGAGTCGAGTTGCTTCAGGAGCTTCTGGCCGTGCCACTCAGAGGAGCTCATGAAGTCCGCTTTGCCAGACTCCTCTTGGTGCTCCATGGGCTCGGGAAGTGCCGAAGCCTTGTCCTCCCTCACCCCCCGGTGTAGCTGTGATACTTCTCTGGTTTTGATTTCATCCTTACATGTACCTTTCTACAACCAACATAAAGCTGTTCTTTCAGCATTTACTATTTTGTTGGCTGTTTGTGAAGTCCTGATGTTGCTCTGTCCAGTGTTTCCCACGGTCATTTGTTGTCTCTGTTCTTGCTGAGCTCTGTGTGAGGGGGTGTCTTCTCAGTCAGACCTGTGTTCAGAGCTGAAGGGCTTGGTTCTGCGTGTTACAAAGCTACAGTGCAGGATAGATGCTGTGTGAGGTGTAAAGAGCCTCTGAGAAAGAAATGGGCCTCTTACACTTTTCTGTGGGTGCTCAAAGGGCCTTTTAGACACACCATTGTCTTCAGCTTTCCAGCAGCCTTGACTTGAGAACTTGACCTGTATAAATTGCAAAAGATATGTGTTGCTTCATGTAGTACCCTGTTCTGTATTTTTGGGTTTTTTTATTTTTTGTTCTGTATTTTCTGCAATGTGTAAAGACTGCTGCAAAGATGAAGAAATATTCCATGAGGGTGATCCTGACTATCTGTGTTTTGCACATGAGAGTCAATTAGTTGCTGGCTATTTGCTTCCTTAGGCCACTGAATCTATATATCCCCCCTAGGCAGACTGGACCTCAATTTTGTATTCTCCCACACAGAGTCCCCAGTGGAGTTCAGCTGCTGTTCTCTACCAAGTGTGGTTGTGTGTTGTTGCCAGATATATACAGTTCTGGAGGGAGAATGTGGGATTGTGCAGCTGCAAGGCTGGCTGTGATGGCAGCTTTCCTCAGCATGCCATCTGAGGAAAAGAAGTGTGCACAGTGGGAAGACCTTCTGAAGAAATGTTTTTTGAAGAGCTGAGCCAATGAGGAAGTGTAATTTCTTCCTGGAGTTCTCCTAGGTATTCCTAATGCTTTTCCCAACTAGAGCAGAGATTTTTAACAGCTGAGAAAGTTTACCAACATTTTGAGTTTCAATGCCTGTGAAGTTGTTGCAATTCAGGCACCTCACTTTGGTTATCTGGCTCTTCAGGCTGGTATCCAGTACTGTCTGAAGGGCACACGTTGTTCTGGTGTGGTGTCACCATGCTTCATGCTGACAAAATGTCGAATTCATCGTAGGCTAAGCCCATATACAGTTTGCTTCTACACAAACACATTCTTCTCTAAAAATGTAGACTTTCATGGAGAAAGCTGGGTTTACACAGTCTGTAGGAAGTTTGGGGACATTCTGAAAAAATGGTTCACCAAGGCTTGGGGGTTCAGCCCAGCCTCCCTGTCCCATGGGCACAGGGCTGTGTCCCCCAAGTGGAGCTGTACTCGTGGGTGGCATGTTTACTGAGTAGTCTGAAAAGATTTTTCTGGCAGGTGTGTGTGTGTGCTTCAGCTAGCTCTGTCACCAGTGAGCTGTCACCAGCCTCCATAGCTCTGGCTTCAGGTGCTTCTGCTGGAGCACTAAAGGCACAGGAAGGGAACTGTCCTGAAGGATCCTGCAGCCCTGCCAGAGGAGCAGTGGTTGGTGGCAAATGTTCCCACCTCCAAACAGCCTTGGTGGGGACAGGTAGGTTATACTCTAGGCCCCTGAGAGCTGTAGAGACTCAAGACTTGGCAGGCAATTCAAAATTGTTGCGTCCTGCTTGTCAGGCTCTTAAAACAGGATTTGAAGAATCTATAAACCCTGTTTATCTCCATTTCGTGTGCCAATGGTTTTTGACCAGGCATTATCTGGAAGAAGAACTAGAAGAAGGAATGGAGAGCAGCCTGGAAGTGGTATCAAAAGTGCACTTTCCAGAGGCCCAGAAGCTACACCAGAAAGAAAATACTGTTGATTATTGTCAAAGTGAACTCTAGTAAAAGACCTGGATTTTTTTTTTTTCAGTGCTAGTGAAGTCATACTTCCACTTCTTTTGGTTGCAGTTCTTCAGTGTGTAAGGTTCTTGATTTTTAGGAGGATTTTTATGCTGTGGGTTTTACTATGAAAAGCTGAAATCAGGCAGTGCATGGTGGAGGAGAAGACTGCATTTTTCATAAGATGGTTTTCCTTTTTCTTTGGGGAAAAAGGGAAATGTTTTCCTGCTTTCTATATATGATATATAAATTCTCTATATATTTTTCTACAAGTGATTAGAAAGTTTGCATCCGCTTACTATCAATTACACAAATATTTTCAGTCAGTTTTGTCCTCAAACTGAATTGGATGTGCATGTGCCAGGAGAAATGAGTAAAATTTAAAGAAATAGCATCCTGTTCTTCCCTGGTGTAGTCTGATCAAAAGACACATTGAGGGGAATAGTGAAGTCCAAATCAAGAAAAGATGTTACATTTCCTTCCAGTGCCTGAAGGGAGCCTTCAAGAAAGATGGGAGAGATACTTTTTACAAGGGCTTGGAGGGACAGGACACAGAGGAATGCCTTCAAACTGAAAGACAGTAGATTTAGATTAGATATTAGGAAGAAATTCTTCCCCATGAGTGTGATGAGGCCCTGGCACAGGGTGCCCAGAGCAGCTCTGGCTGCCCCTGGATCCCTGGCAGTGCCCAAGGCCAGGCTGGACAGGGCTGGGAGCAGCCTGGGACAGTGGGAGGTGTCCCTGCCATGGCAGGGGTGCGATGAGATTCAAGGTCCTGTCTAACCCAACCCATTCTATGACTCCATAGTTGTGATTCAGAAAATACCCCTCAGACACGAAAATTGTAGAATGAGTTTAACAGAGAAATTGCATCAGAATTAAAGGTATCTTGCATCAGAATTAAAGGTATCTTCAAAATAAAATGACTGATTAATTTCTTTTTTGATAGGCAGTTCTTGCAGAAAACAGACCAGGCCTTGGGACTGTGCTTGAAGAGAAGCTTTATAATACTTGGGCCAGACACTTAAATTGTATGACTTTTCCCTGGTTTCCTAAGGTGGCATTTCCTGTGCACTGTTCTGATTGTCTCAATGGGCATTTCATTCCCATTTCCTTCTTCTGTGCCTGCACAGTCTGTTTGACTTCAGAGCTTGTGTTTGGGCTGTTGGTTGTTACCAGCTAAGAATGAGCAACGTGTATTGGAGGGTGGTGCAGCTCATATTTCTGTATGAGGTAAAGTTATCTAGAAACAGTATTTGTGTGTTGAATTGTCACATCAACATTCTGTTCTCCATTTTGCTGCTAAATTCACTGATCATATATGTAGATTCCACGTTCAAGCATAGTCTTTAAAATTACATTAAGAACCCAGCACAAAATCCACCTAGCAAAAAAATTCTTACCTGAAGTACCTTCCTTAATAATTCAAAGCAGAAAGATGATTTTTTTTTTCCTTTTATAAGGCAAAGTCTAAGTCTCAGGATAATAAGTATAATGCACACACACGCATAGAGATAATGGAATTACAATCTGTAAATAGAAACAAATAAATACAAAAGATCAAATACTGAAAAATAAGGCTATATACATAAAAAGTAGAGCAGACTTGCTACATCCCCACAATACCAAGCTGTAGAGAGGAATCTCTGAACCAGAGAAGTTTGGCACTAATACTCTCTTGAATTCTGAGGCACATTTCTCCATTTTACGCCTGTTTTGGTTTGGTGCCAGGACTCAGCATTTCCCAAGCACATGATAAGGATCTGTGCACAGGTTATCAGCTCCTTGGGCAGTGCTGCATCCCACAGCTGCTCTGCTCCTCGGCCAGATGCCACCTCAGCAGGGGTGTAATCCTTCCTGGGCTGCCCCGGCTTGTGCTGACAGGTTTTCCTGTGTGCAGGGCTCACTTCATTCTGCTCTCTGCTCCTTCCAGGATGGCTCGCTCTCTGTATGAGTGGCTGTGGCAGCACGAGTTCTGGCTGCCCCCAGGAATCACCTGGGAGGACATGCAAGAATCTGAAGACACTCATTATCCTCAGCCTCGTCATCTCCTGCTCAGTATCCCCTTTGCTTTAATCTTGGTAGTCATTCGATGTGCCTTTGAAAGGTAAGTTATTTCATACTGTTTGTGGTTTCTTAGCTACAATAAGAGCAGTTTGGGTCCAAAAGCTGGCTTTATTGTCTGTGTCAATGCATGACTGAAGAGGTCCACAGAAACTCCATGTCACAAAGTCTGCTGATACAGATAAATTTTTCAGCTCCTTCTTTTCAGCCCTGTATACTGGCTAAAGAATTGTGTTGAATGTAGACCACAAACCCTATCCTTAGGGTCTATTTGGAAGCATTGTGACTTCATACACATTAAACAGATAAGTGTAGCTGGGGTTTATGTGTGTGTTTTGCTGGTTTGTGTGTGTTGCATGTTACTTGCTGTTTCTGGCTTGAGTGTGGCAGAAATCCTGTTAAGACTCCATCACACAGTTAAGTCTCCTTTATCTTGGGTGATGGGGATCTGGAGTATTGCACCTGATAGACAAACCTGGACCAGATGCACCAGATTGAGCTGAGCCCTGTGCCTCAGCATCAGCCCTGCCTGGCACAGGCTGTGTGTGGTGCTGGCCCCACGCAGGGCTGGCAGTGCCCCTGCTCTCCTCTGCCAGGGACACACACATCTGTAGCTGCTTCCTCTGGCTTGAAGTTCCTACAGACCCCTCAGTGCTGGGCTGTCAGGATTTCTGCTCCTCTCATTCTGCTCCCTGATCTGCTTTTGAGGCTGCTTTTTGCAGACTCTGTGATATCACCCTCCAGTGCTGGCACAAGAAGTTACTCTGACTCAAGGATCTTTCTGGCCAGAACCATTTGAATGTTTTACACATTGCACTTCAGGACAGAAAATTTGGGCCTTATGACAAAAGTACAGCAAGAAATCCTGCAGGTGTCATTAACTCTGAGTTTAATCATTGAAGTCCTGAACTGGTGGCATTGCTTTATGAGTTTGGTCAGTATTAATCTGGCTGGTGACACATGATTTGCTGGTGGAAAACTGAGATTTACTAGAGCATTAACTGTTGTTAATACTGCAGTGCAAGTCTCCTTCATGATTTTGAATACACTTTAAAGTGTTTTTTCGATATATTCAAAACCCAGTATTCGTAGTAGCTCTCTGAAAAGGTAATAATTTGAAATCTTCGGTGGTTTTAAGTTTAGAAAGAGGGGAAAATGACCATTTAAAAAACATTTTATCATTCTTTTTTGAAAAGTGGCTGCACAACAAAATGGAAATGGACTTTCCTGTAGACTATAAAGATGTTTCTTCTGCAGGTTGTCTGTGACACAAGGTTAGCTTGGAAAAAACATAGAAGTTGAAATTCAGAGCTCTCCTATAAGAATGTTTTTATCCAAAAATACTGACTGTAAGTTGGGATATTTTATTAAAACTAAATGTTTGAATAATTACTGAAATAATCATTTTAGGATGATACAAGATTGGAATTACAATCTCCTTTTTGCAAAAAATATGTTCAGTTGCATTCCATAAATTCCATGGGTTTTTTCCTGCACTTTCCTGGGGAAATGGGCATCTTGGTTAAATCTATTCATGTGGAAACCCGGGTGCTCCAGGTAGCCATTAAAACAGAAGTGACTCACATTTCTTCCCTGCTGGTGCAGGGAGCTGGCTGGATTCCGTGCTCCTTCAGGTGGGCCCTGCTGGTCGATGGCACAGATGTGCTTCTGGCGTGGAGCTGGAAATTGGCCCGTGTGCCCCTGACCTTGGCCGGTTTGTGGCTCCCCAGTGCCATTCATGGCCAGGAAAAAGGAGCCAAACTCTTCCCTGTGGTGGCACCTGGCAGGACATGAAGCAGTGGGCACAGACAGAAATGCACAACGTTCCATCTGCAGATACAAAAACTCTCTTCTTACTGTGACGTTGGTCAAACATGGGAACAGTTTCCCCAGAGGGGGGGAAGAAGTCTGCGTGGGCAGAGATGAGGACACCCAGCTGGACATAGCCCGGGCAGCCTCCTGGAGCAGCACTTGGGCTGGGTGGTCTCCAGAGGCCCCTTTCAGCATCTCTGAATCTGTGCTTCTGTGACTCTGTTTGCCTGCCTCCTGCCACACCACTCCCCGTCAATCTAAATATCTTTTTCGTCTGCTTTTAGATGCCGATGGCCAAGTAAAAAGATTTTTTTCTTTCCCATCCAAGCGCTGCCTCATCTGGGAGTGTTTCCACAGGCCTGGTCCTACTCATTAATTTTAAAGCTGTTTTGATTCACAAACTTCATTAAATAAAAGCTGCATGTCACACCCTTGAAAAAGATAACATCACAAGCCCATTTTACAGGTCCAGGAAACCTATAATCATAGCCCTATTTTACCTATGCAAATTACAAGCCGGTGTTCTGAGCTGTATTCTTGTTTGTCCTAACTCTGCAGTAATTTATTTCAGCATGACTTTTTCTCATTGTGAATCATTACTGTTTCACATCCATTTCATCCTGGAGAAGAAAGCTTCCCCTGGGAAGGTGAAATGTGAATCCAGCCCTGAGTTTCTCCACTGCCTTATCTGTATCTTTAAACAGTGGCACTGGCCCTGTTTAAAATAATTTACACCAAGTTTGAGAATTGCAGAAGGAAATGTGCATTTATTTCTCATTTTCTGTGTAGATAATCCTGACTGTATATCTTTGGACACCTGCTCTGCAGATTGAAATGAGTGGCTGTAAATAATAGACAGGTTTGGGTTTGGTGGATATACTTGCACTCTGGCAATTTATTCTACTCTCAGCCACCACCAGCTATTACTTGCAACTCTGCATCTGGATAGTTCCTGGTGGTGTCTGCTTTGGGATTTCAGACATGTTATAATGTGATTCCTGTGATTTAACTGTCAGAACTCCAGGTAAATAATAAGAGGCAGGGGAAGTCTGGAGCATTTTCTGCAATGTCTGCATCAGCCACTGTGCTGGGACCAATTGTTTAATCCGTTTTTTATGCATTAAACTTGTAAAAGGATGGATTTTCCTCTCCTTTGCACCTGGCTGGCTTAACTGGGGCAAAATGAGCCAGCAACATCCTTCTGAGAGCCGGCGATGAGGGATGGGGTGGTGGCTGTGGGAAGGGGACCTGCGGTGTCGGGGTGGGGCCTGGGAGAGCCGAGGAGGCTGTGGCTGCAGCCCTGGGGCAGAAGAAACAGCTCATGGGTTGTGAAGCAACTCCCTGCCAGCTGGTTTGTGCTGGGGAAGGTGGGGAAAGGTGGATTCGGTGCTGGAGAGTAGAAAGCCCATTTCTGCTGCAGTGCTGAGCTGTGCCACAGTACTGGGGCAGGAACTGGGGGAAGCAGTTAATGATGTCCTGAGAAAAGAGAGCACCTAGAACTTGGGAACCTCCCCTGTTCCTTTAGTGTTTCCAGGTTGCACTTGTGAGTAGGAGATATGTCCTGCAACCAAAACTTGGAGCTTGATTTTACTTAGCAGAACTTTTCCCTGGATATAGTCCTGCAAGGATGTTGGCTTCTCTTCTAGTTATGTAATTTTTAAGACCATTTCTGTAAAAATCAAGTTCTAGGAAGGCTATGATTCTGAAGGAATATTGCAAATTGTTTCTTGCCTGCATGGTTAGTAAAATGTGGCAACTAAAGTCCTTTGAGAAACAGTAAAGCCATTGAAAACCAGACTTTACAAACAATTTTTGATTTGTCTCATTTTGGACTTGTCCAGGGATTTTTGGATATTGGGCAATTGAAAAAATTGTCAGTGAATTTGAATGCACACAGCTCCCAGATTTCACTAGAAGAGGATTTTAGTCCAAAATACTAGCTCTCTTTGTGGGAGGGTGGTGTCAGGATGTGAGCCACATGTTGTACATTTAAAGAAATGGACACTCTTGATCAGCCAGGAACAGATACTTGAACTCAAAACCAGAGGAAGGAAAGGACACCAATTCTGAGTATTTTATTTAGACATGTATCTTTCTAAAGTTTATTTTCCACAGAGACTTTTGTTGTTGATCAGTAATCAGGAAGGATTTGGAAACAGTTTCCTGTTAAGGTCTTACAGGTGGGGCTTGGTGCAAGGATGGGGACACATGGCAGCATTTAACTGAAAATGGACCTGACTCCGTTTGGACAGCAGCACTGTGGTGAATCCAGGCCTGGTATCAAACAGAACAGTCAGTTTAACTAGCGTGAAGCATTCTCCTGCAGGCAGGAGAAGGCAGAGACTGTGCCAGGAGCAGAGCAGTAGCCCTCTGCCAAAGGAAAGCTGGAGACCAAAGGAGATTCTGCAGTTCAAAGAGGTTCAGAATGCTGCTGTCACTGGTTCTTCATTTCTTAGTACTTGAAGGTATTTGCAAGTAAATAATAATATAATATTTTTTAAAATCCACCCCCAAAGTTAAATTATTTCTTTTACTTCACACTAACTCTAAAAGCCTCTGCAGAAGGAGTGTAGCCCACTTTTGAAAGGTGGGAGAGTAGCAGTTTAATCCTATTCATGGCAAATCCACTTAGTTTCAACTTGAGGAGATTTTGCACAAGACAGCTTGTTCTCTGGTTACTGAATAAAGTGCCTTGGTGAGACCTCTGCCACGTAAAACATGGAGTGAGAGGTGCTCACTGGTGGAACTGTAGGCTTTTGATGAGACTCATCTCTCTGGCTATGTCTGACTCTGAGAGGGGCACAGTTTAGTCCTCAGATTTACCCTTTTGTCTCGCAGAGAGCTGATAAAGTGCCATGACAAGGCTGTCCCTGCCACTGAGATTACAGATCTGTGATGTTGAAATCAGAACAAGCATCATCCTTTTAGGGCTGTGCTTGGAACAGGACTTAACTGAGAACTGAGTCAGAGCATACAGCCAACACATGCAAATGTCCCTTTGGAACAATTTCAGGCCTTGGTTTCCCAATGATGTTCCAATAAAAGTAGGATTGGTTCCATAAATCATGGGTATATTCAAAACCTCAACAACAAAGTAATTGTAACTGGTTACACCCTGATTTCATCCACTGCAAGTGGCTTGTTTCTGTTACAGTGAGATTTTATGCCATGACCATAAGAAATCAGGAAATATAGAGAAGTCAGGGATTAAACAAAATGAAGAAATTTTTCTGGACACTTTTCAGTAAAATAAATTTGCTGGCAAGCTGCATTGACACCTGATATTCTCTTTGTTTAATGTCTCTGGAAAATGTCATACATTTCAGTTCCCAATATGGCCTGATAAGAAGTGGCAGTAAGGTTGTTTTCAACAATAGAATTGATTACATTTTCCTCTTCAGAAGTGCTTGTATTCATGCCTGTTCTTTGAAAGAGAAAGATCAGGCCCACTGTTTAATATAAGAACCAAGATCTAGTGCAGAGCTTAAGGTAGATTTTTTCCCAATTTAGTGGAGTTATGGATACTACTGAAATACTGTCTTATTGTTCGGAGCACAGGACCTGCTGGTCCAGTATCACTTATTAAACCAATCACTTCATATAGAAAAAAAGTCATTAGATGCACTTAAAACATCTCTTGAGAGCAGTCAGAGCCAGCCCAGAATTCCCAGTGATGGCTATATGCCTTTGCCACCCAGCAGCAGTGCCAGAGCGCTGCTGAATTTCACTGAAACTGGTCAGTGGTTACCCATGTTTTTGTGATCACTATCCCTCTTGTTGCCAGCAAGCACACTTAGCCCTGGCCCTTCTTTTATGGTAGAAACATGTAATTTTTGTTGGTCTTGGTACATTTTTGAATGTTCCTATAGCCAGTGATGCCAAAGGAATTTCCCAGAGATAATGACAAAGAACAGTTGATACACAGGCAGGTGGGTTGGCTGTGCAAAAGAAAAGGGAGAGCTGTTATATGAGTGAGCAAAATGTGTACCCATTCTGTGGTCTAATAGAAGTTACAGCATTCCTTAGGTAGGGGGTCTTTTTATAATTTTTTTTTTTTAATACTTGTTAATTCAATTAAGAAATGAGTTCTTGAAAAGAAAACTTCTACAAGAGCCATCTGGAGGATTCTGGACCTGAAATAGTCCCTAAAGACATGCATAATACTTGTTAATTAAATTAAGAAATGAGTTCTTGAAAACTTCTAAGGACCCATCTGGAGGATTCTGGACCTGAAATAGTCCCTAAAGACATGCATATGGAGCATAAGCTCTATGGATATCAGAAACCACAAGTAACCACACCAGATAATATAACCACACAGATATACCACACCACAGCCATAAATATATCCCATACTATTTTGAAGTAGAACACCTTTAAACACCTACACAGTGAAACAGCTTTTGCAGCTTTTTTTAAGCAAAGTGAAAGAAAAAAAAAAATCTTCTTCTGTGTCCAAATCATTAGGGAGAATGGATCAGAGGACTTGCCTGGACATCAGGAGTGACCAGGCAGAGCAGGTATGGGGCTCAGCACTCACTGCCTCTGCTTGGTGCTGTCAGCTCAAAGCAGCTTCAGAACCAGTTTGCAGCAACACAGAGACACTTCCCCAGTGGCAGTGTGTAAAAGGGAGCAATTAATAGGAACAGCTAATTCTTGAGAAATTAAAGAAAAATTCAGATTATTTAGATATTAAAAAAAAAAGTTTGACAAGTTTCCTCTTTGTGCTGTATTTATGCAGGATCTCACTTCACACCTTCAATGAGGATGTTTCCTGCTGCTGAGGTAGAGAGGAGTGTTGCTGGTAGAGGATTTGAGTTGTTGAGCACAGGGATTCTCTGAACAGTTTTCCTTGACTAATTTTTTTCTATTTATGCAGGTTTTTTTGGTTGTGGGGTTTTTTTTCTTTGTTTTTGTTGTGGGTTTTTTTGGGGTTTGTTTTTTTTTTGTTTTTTTTTTTGCTTTATTTCACTGTGAAAGACTGAAGATGCAAACATCCATTGCTTGTGACAAGGTTTCTAGCTGCCATGTCCTTATTTTGCAACGGTGTTTGATTTATATTAGGAAACAGGGGGATGAGTTACTCCAGCAAAGACCAAATGGCTTTCTGTTTCAGCAGGACATTTCTTCTGCATTAATAATACACCTCTGGCAGAGCCTCCCTCTTGACCCTGAGCCAAGGCCTTAGTTCAGGTGGATGCCATGTATGTTCCATGTTCTAGATTAAGCAGGGAACATCCTTTAGGCTTTATCAGCAGTGTGGTTCTCCCCATCAGCTCCAAGGACACCAGAGACTCGTGCCTGGTGATTCAGAAGCTGACAAAGGAGGGTATTGCATTTGCCAATCTCATGTAATTTTGAATATCACAGCACAGAGCTCAGAGCAGTAGGGTGCAAGTCCAGCAGTTTCTACTGTAAGTCTGTGATTTTATCTACTCAATGTGATACTCATGTTTAGATTCACATGTGGGAAGCAGCTGTTATGTACTGCATCACGTTTTAACAGTGCTGCAAAATCAGAAATCACTGTTCTCTTTTTGGCTGACCCTTTATGTTTTCTTTTGCAGAGCCATAGCCCTGCCTCTCAGTACCAAATTGGGTGTGAGAGACAAGCAGAGACCAAAAGCTCAGCCCAACCCCGTGCTGGAAACGTTCTATAGTACGCGCCGCAAGAACCCTAAAGAGGTGAGTCCCTTCTTTCTTTGCTTTCCTGTAGAAAATCCCCTTTGGAATCCTGAAGTTTAGCAATGCCGTTGATATCTGGAAGCTCCAGAAAGGAAACGCTGCAGCACTGGTTCCCTGAGAGCAGCCTGCCGCAGGGTGTTCCTGCAGTGCCATCAGCTCTGAGTTCTGTCTCCGAGCAGCAGAGGAAACTGCTCCCAAAAGGAGCAGTGACAGCTCCGGTCCCTGCCTGCCCCACACACAGCACAACCTGCAGCACTGGTGGCTCTGCCTGAACAGCAGTGACACCTTCTTACTGTGAGCGTGCCCAGGGAGGTTGGGGATTTATATCCTTGGGAAAACTCAAAGCTCTCTGGGCATGGTCCTTGACACCTGGCTCTAGGCAGCTCTGTTTGAGTAGGGCCCATTGGACAAGGTGAGCTCCAGGGTCCCTTCCAACCCCAGCCATTCTGTGATGGCTTCTTTTCATATACTGGCAAATCCTAAATAAAAACCAACTGCCTTGAGCTCCCACATTGCTAGTCCCTGCAGCTCAGCAAATGTGTCTTGCTTGATCTAGTCCTAGACTGGGTCATTCTGTTGCCATGCAATCCATGAGTTTGAGATTGGCCTTGCAAGAAGCCAGAGTCTTGGCCATCATCACAGAGACTGTGAGGGGCTTCAGAAGCCTGCAAACATAACTGGAGGGTAGTTTTCCCCTGAGGAGTAAGAAAAGTCTTTCAAGAAAGTTTTTCAAGAAATTGGCAAGATGACCCAGAGTTATAATGGCTGTTGCTGATGGGAAAAACTACTAGCAGGATTATGAATTGTCAGGCAATATTAGAATTTAACCTGGTCAGGGAAGTCCCTGAGAGCGAATTCTGTGGTAGGGAAAGCAATCTGATTTTATTTCAGCTTGGTTTTGTAGACTTTCTCTTGGCCTTAAAGCAATTGCTGTGAGCCCTTATAGAGGATGGGTGAGTAGGATGCTCACCATGGCTTCCAGTCCCAAGGAACAATCCTGCTCCAAACACATTGCTTCACCAAGGCTGTTGCAGCATGGTTTTGCTGCAGTGGGGCATGAGGAGCCTCAGGACATGCAGTACCAGATTAGAAATAAAGGAAAAGAGGCTAAAATTAAAATGCAGGCATTGATCTGGGTAGTGCAGCCAGCCCATCTCTGCAGCAGTGGGAAGGTGCCGTTTGTCCTGGCTGGATGGTGACAGGGAGGGTGACAGATCCCCCTCTGAGCCCCACTGAATCCCAGCTGACATACCAGTGACACTGAATCCCAGCTACCAGTGACAGCACAGCATGGAGACAAAGAGCAGCACCACGGGTCCTGGGGTAACTTTATTCGATGGTAAAACTTCCCCTCTTCAGTGTCCCAGGACCCCGAACTGGGGGCAGACAGTGACTTATATATGGGGGCAGGTCTCAGGGGAGGATACAATCTTTAACAAATCAGGAGAATTGGGAGTGAAAAACAAGGCGGGGAATATAATGTTTAAACCAATAAAGAATTTCAAGGGAGGAGAACATTTTCAGTGAGCTAATAAAGTCTGGAGAAATAAAAAACTGGCAGGGAAATTTCTCGAAAGAATGCAGGTTGGGGAAGAAACTGGCATTTAATGAAAGGAAAAGTAAAGATTCCGGGCAAAGGGCAGGGACAAAAGGCACAGCCTAATGAAACTACAAAATTGCAAATCAAACAGTAAACATACCAATAAAACAAAAACACACCACAACAGGAAGGAGTGTTCTGAGGGACACTGTCAATGTGGTTGGCTTTCCTCTTGCCTTTCTATCCCCAAAATCCAAACACTTCTTACTATAACTGCTTCTATGGCAGAGATCTAACTCAAGACCTGGCTTTGCCAGCAGGTTTTTCACGCAGCTCTTCTTGCACCCCTGTTGTGCTGAAGTGGTGCTTTTCTCCCAGCAGATCTGGGATACTGGAACAGATCCTCACCATGAGACAGCAGCATGAGGTGGGGCAGGAGCTGCTGCCTGGCTCTCTCCATCACTGGGTACACCTCAGCCCGTCTGCTGGCTCCCTTCCCCTCCCAGGAGCTCTCAAACCACTGCTTAGAGGCAGCTTTTACTTGTCCAGTACAATATAAGATTTTGCAGTTCTTGTCAGCCATTTCTTGGGAGGAATTCCACATGATGGAGCAGTTGGAAAATGTAAATTAACATCTCCATTTGTCTCCAGAACAGCACTCACAAAACAGCACATCTGAAAGCAGCATACCTGAAAACTGGTAATCAATTTATTTTTGTACAGCATGCTCAAAGTATGTAGGCCATTCTCACATGATACCAATTCAGGTAAATGCATTCCATGAAAAACTATTGCTTTACTTAAAAAACAAGGTTATCCATGATGACACTTCCAAGTAGGAATATAAAGCATGACAAACTCTTAACAGCCTAAGGACAAGAAGGAAGGTAATTGCAGGATTTCTGTGAGTTGTATATCGAAGAATTACCCCTAACAGGTTTACCACAAGAGGAGAATATCCAGTAGGAAAATGATATTGCCTCTGCTCATTACATCCACCATGATACTGCATCAGAACTGCTGAGAGGCATGACAAGATTCAGTGCAGAACCATAAAATATGATTTACACTGCGGTGATCTTTATTGGAGTGACAGATTTTAAGGATTTGGTCCCAGAAGACAGGGTGAGGAAGTGATTAGGCAACAAACTTGTGAGGAGACAGGACCAGTTTGAAACTGGGGAAGTTAACATAAAAAATGAGAAGTTTCAACATTAGTATTTATAACCAATTGATTAGAGGGGAATGGAAATATTTTCTGCTATCCAATATCTTTACTCTAGGAATGGACAGCTTTCAGAAAGATGCCTTAGCCTGAGCAGACTTAGGCTGGCCAGGGGATCCAGCTGGGCTCTGTGGTGGGTCAAATAGATGTTGCCCTCTCTGAACTTTGAATCTGGATCTGAGCCTGCTGCCTCATCTGTTTTCCAGGGTGAGCTGCTCAGTTTAGCCAAGCAATGTGACCTGCCAGTGAGGAAGGTGGAGAAGTGGTTCCGGCACCGGAGGAACATGGACCGGCCCAGCCTGTCCAAGAAGTTCAGCGAGGCCTGGTGAGCAGGAGCACAGGCCATGAACTCCGTTTTCACTGGAGCTGAGCTCCACAGACAGCTCACTGCCTCCCCCTGCCCTCCATCCCTACACAGAGATCCCAGCTCCCTGTCTGCCCTCCGTCCCTACACAGAAATCCCAGCTCCCTGTCTGCCCTCCATCCCTACACAGAGATCCCAGCTCCCTGTCTGCTCTCCATCCCTACACAGAGATCCCAGCTCCCTGTCTGCCCTCCATCCCTATGCAGAGAGCATCTTGGGTCTTCCCTGACCCACTTGGCTCTGCTATTACTCTCTGCTGCCTCTCTGTTATGGAAACATTTCTTGTTTTTCCCCCTTACTTGCAATCCTAAGTCTCCTTTTACTGCTGTACCTTTATTCCTTACTGGTCCCTTGTTTCTGAATTTTCCTGACTTTGTCACACTGGCATCCTGCTTTGACACGTATTTGAACCTGAAAAACTCTCTGCTCTTTACATCTTAGTGCTTTGCTGCTGCTTCAGTACCTACTAAAAAGGCATCCTTTCTGTTTCCTTCCCCATAGTTTCCCTTTCTGCATAGATTCCTTCTGCTGCACCTTTTCTGCAACTATTTTGCACACTGTTGTTTTCAAAAGCTACAGGCAGCAGGCTGGATTGGATTCTGCTGTCATTTGCCTTCAGCATCTTGAAAGTCACAAACCAGCATCCTTCCACGGGGGTGGAAGTTTGTGAGCAAAGATCAAAAACTGCCTTGCAAACAGCTGTGTGGGAATCCTCCTTGTTATGTGGAGGCACAAAATAAATCTCAGGACAGACAGATCTGAACGTCAGTCCTGGCTCAGCTTTCCACAGAAAAGGAGGATTCTCCACAGGTTGCTTGGAATGCCTCATTTACAAGGGGCTGCTCTGCTGTTTGTGTAGGGAGTTGGGTTCCCCCAGGAAAGCCACATAAGCAAAAGAAATCATTAAATACTTGGAGTACTATTCATCTATCTAAAAGTGTGTGTCTGTATCCATAGGCTAGGCATGAACTTCGGGCTCATCAGCATGTGCTCCATTGAACACTCCACCTGTAATTTGAAACCCCTGCCTAAAAACCCTAATTCAAAAAGAAGAAAAGGATGTGTATTATTTATTTATAATACTCCATATAGTTACAAATATTTACAGAAACAGTGAATAAGGAGTTGTAAAGCAACAATGTTTATTCTGCCTCCATCTGGATGAAATGCCAGCTCTCCCTGCACTCTGATGACTTGTAGTGAATAGTAACAGTAAGTAGGAAACAGTAAATCCTTTTCTGCCTCAGCCCGCTGAGGACAGAGTCCTTCCCCCACCCTCTGTCGCCATGTGCAGTCTGTAGACAGAACGTCTCTCTGATGTGACATAGCAGCTTTGCAGAGTTTATTTTTGTCTTGGAATTCCTGGGGCTTTCATTGACAGGTGGAGTCTCTCAAAATGCAGTTATGTCTGAATTGTTATGGAGATTTTTTGAAATTAAAGGACTAATTTAGACAGTTTTACTCCTTTTAATATTTCCCGTGGTTCATTTATTAATAACTTGTTTATTTGGTTAGGTTGAAATTCCCCCCATTCCTTACTATATGTGTGAATATTCAGGTGACCTGCCTCTGTCCACTGATCTGCACAAACAGTTTGTATGTACTTCTGTGTGGGTTTAATGTTGGAAAATAATTTCTGGCTCCTCAATGAGCCAAACATGACAGTAATTAGTTACTGTGCATGATAACAAATCTAGCAGGCTGGATCTCTAAAGGCCTAGGAGAGATTGGCATTGTTTCACTTTTACAAATGCATCTGCTACTGCTGGGAAGCTTTGGGATTATTCTCATCAGGATTTTAGTCAGCAAGATTCTTGTGTCCTCTGCCATCTCTGCAGCAAAGGAATTGCTCTTTGTGAAGTCTGTGAAATGTGCTGGTAAAATGCAAAGAGCTGCTCCTGTTTTGGTCAAACCTTAAACATACTAACATGTGTCTTTGCCTTAATAGTGTAATTGTTTTAATTAGTGTGAGGATACACAAACTTGCAGCTCAGGGGTTAATTAATGGGATTCTAATGCCCTTTGTTTTGTTTGTTTGCAGCTGGAGATTTACATTTTACATCATTTCTTTCTTCACTGGACTCGCTGTCCTGTATGATGTGAGTACACACGCAGTCACCTGCTGTTCTACCCAGCCCATGCCTGCAAGAATGGCAGAGTTTGTTGTCAAACATGCCTTTTCAGATCTTCTTCTAGAGGTTTTCCATACATGTTGGTGTGTATCCCCTGCATAGCACACTTAGGAGACCACAGACATACTGGACCGGGTTTATTTTAAGGACTCCAGAACCAAGTTTCCTCTTCTTCTGGCAAAGCAGAAGGCAGATGGGATTGTATAAAAGTAAATTTCTTCAGGGTAGGAGATAGAACACTTACCTAATCTGGAAGCTGCAGGGCCTGTTTGTGTGTTGTATCCAATACCTCTTTAAGGTAAATAAATTGGGCTTCCTTTGGAGCATGGACTGCAATTTAATCCTTTTATTTGCTAATTTTCTTTTCCTTAGCCAGGATATGATTGGTTCAGGCTCATGCCTCAGCCTTTTCTCTAATTTGATAAATAGTGAGTTCTCTTGATACAATTTGTACTGCCTTATCAGGCAGAAGTGCTAAGGGGAGCCATGGGTGTGCTCTTGTCCCTGAGCTGGGACTAGGGCACTGGCCATCTGCTGCCTCTGTTTTCAAGGTTCACCTGACTCCTTTGCTGTGTCTGGTTCCCTAGGTGAGCTTTGCAAGTCTTCTGGTCTGGTCTGATGAGTTAAGTGATGCAAAATGTGCACATCCCAAGGCAGCAGGCACAAACCCTCCTTGTGACCTCTCACTGTAACATGTGAAGGACTTTTAATTTACACAGACTTTCAAGTCAGATTTTAAGGGACTCAAAAGTATGAGGATTAGAGGATGAGCTAGCTGAGGAGTGAAGGTATCTGAACCTCAGCTGCAGTGTTCTGTGGATCTGTACGTCAAAACAGAAGACTGTTCTTTGAGACCAGCTCTTGAAATTTGGTCTGGATGATCTGCTTAGCATTGTACAAGATCCCTGTAGCAACAAGGGACAAAATCATATTCTTCAGCATGTTGTCTGTCCATTATATGGATGAAATACCATTTTCACTTTTTGTGACCCATGTCTTTATTCAACACACATCTTACAATTTTCACAAAAAAAGGGAGACATCCATCCTACAGACAGCACCTCTAGATCCTGTAGCAAATATGTTATTCTGCTACCTAAATTGTACTAAAATTACTACTTTTAAAAGAAGGACAAAGAACTAACATGACAGGGCATGCCTACCTGTGAGATTTTCTGACTTTCACATGCTTACTTTATTACCTGAATAGCTTTTAAACATGTGTTTGTTGTTGTGAAACTCCCTTCTTTCTTTAGGAAAAGAGCAAATGTTTAAATTCTGCATTAGTAGTTTTGGACTGATAGCAAAAACCTCTGCCCATAAGTCAGTGAAACAGCCTGTAACAAAGGAAAGTTATCTTCCAGTAGGCCACCAGGAATCAGCTATATTTGCTGATAATAGAGGAATGATGAAATTCAGGGATCTGGACTTGCTTTCTAGCTTAGGTAAACAGTGTGCCATAGTTGTTGCATGGTTTTTGCTTTGTGCTTTCTGGTTCAATATCACACATCTCTCCTGGTTCTGCACATTATTTGCTGTAAATTCTATTCCCAGCCTCACTCCCAGTCAGCAGGGACTCTGTCTGTTCCAAGTTAGGTACCACACATCTCTCCTGGTTCTGCACATGTATTTGCTGTAAATTCTATTTCCAGCCTCACTCCCAGTCAGCAGGGACTCCGTCTGTTCCAAGTTAGCCCTGCACCTAAACCCACTGCCTCCTGCTTTGCCTCTGTATCACCCACACACCAGCAGAGCTCAGTGGGAAGAAGAAATGCTGCCTTCTTGCCTCAGCTCTGATATCTGGAGCCCTCTAGAACTTAAAGAAAATTACCGTCATAGGTGTGAGCATCACTGTGTTCTGTGAGCTCTGGCCCACCCTGGGCTCAGCTCCAGGCAGAGCACGCTCCATGCAGGGAGGACTCTTGGGGACTTTAGCTGCCATGTTTCTATGAAGGTTTCAAAACTGCCAAGTTCTAAACTAACAATTTATTGAACAGAGTAGGATCTTTTCAGAGGTTAATTACTTAACAAACTGCAGCATAACCTTCACTGTTAAAGAAAAAAACCACTTACCTGACACACCAGTTTTCAACCTTCTATCCACATTTAAGTGTTACTGTCTACATCACAGATACTCCTAATTAAATACTTGTAAGATTATTTTTAAATGCTCAAAACATCACCAACACCTCAAGCGTGTGGAAGATGGCAAAAAGTTGGGAGAGGTCTTCTCTGAGCTATTTTATTTGGAACGGCTAAATAGTGTGTGAGATTTCAGGCAAATAGCCACAATTTAGAAATGTCACAAGCAGATGCAAGTCCTTGTAGTGGAAATCTCTTGGCAATTGGATTCCAGACAGCAAGACCAGCTCTGCCTGTAATAAAACACAACAAAGTCTGTAGCAGTAAGAAACTAAAGGAATTAGACAACTGATAAGAAAAGAGCTCCTCTGATATTCTCACATACGTGTTTCATTTTTGTTGCAGAAGCCTTGGCTTTGGGACCATAGAGAGTGCTGGACAGGATATCCACAACAGGTGAGTCACACAAGAAGGAAAATTGCTGTTATAAGTCTTGTATTGTGTTTCTGTATTTTTTGAAAATCAGATTATAATAGTGACAAAAAGAGGACACTGAATTAAATTCAGACTCGGAAGACCTAAGAATTCAAAGTCAGACCCTCATCTGGAGAGAACATCTTTGTACCTGGTATCATCTAATGCAAGAGAAGATGAATTGGCAAAGCACTTTGTCACTATCAAGCGAAAATGAAGACTTATGTTCCAGGGGTTTTGTCTGACAGTCAAAGCTAGAACAAGACCCCTTGACTATATGTGGAGGTTGCAAACCCGTAAAGGGGAAAGTAATGCCCAATTCTAACAGTGTGAGACACAGGAAATGTAACAGGACTAATGACTGAAGATTGAGGCAATGCCTTAGAGGACAAGTCTGAGCATTCCAGTATTGCTCGAAGGCAAAAATTTTAGGGCAAATCTGTAGTTCTGTGTAAAAATTAAACCATACAAACAAGTGAGGCTTGAATAGGAATGTTAGACTGCAAGGATCACTCAGCTCCTTCTCTCTCCTGCTCTGTACACTTGTGGTACATGTCTTGTCAAAAACAAGGGGAGCCTCCATAATGGCACACTGTGATGGACTGACCCTGGCTGGCCAGTGTGCCCACCAAGCCCATTTTTCTCTCCCCTCCTCAAATGGAAAGGGGGGAGAAAATATAGCAAAAGGCTCATGGGTTGAGATAAGGACAGGGAGAGAGCATCCCCGGTTACCATCACAGGTAACACAGGCTTGACTTGGGGAAAAATTATTTTCATTTACTGTTAGTCAAATAAGAGTAGTTTAACCCAAATCTTAAAAGCACCTTCCTGCACCCTTCCCTTCTTCCTGGGCTTAACTTCACCCCCACATTCTCTACCTCCTCCCCTGCACGGTGCAGTGAGATGTGGAGTGGGGGTTGTGCTCAGTCTGTCACACCTTGGCTCTGCTGCTCCTTCCTCCTGCTCTGGTAGCAGGGGTCTCCAGCGGGAGACAGCTCTCCATGAAGCTCTCCACTGCGGGTCCTTTCCACAGGATGCAATCCGTGGGGAATGCACTGCTCCATCGTGGCTCCACCGCAGGCGCTGCCAGGAGCCTGCCCCAGCACTACAGCACAGTCTTGGCAGGCTCAGAGCTTCCTCAGGCCACATCCCCCTGCTCTAGTCAGGATCTAGACCTCCAGGGACTGCAGGTGGATTTCTGCTCCCCGTGGACCTCCGTGGGCTGCAGGGGCACAGCCTGTATCACCATGGCCTGCTGTATCACCATGGCCTGCTCCAGCACCAGGAGCTCCTCCTCCTTCTGCACTGACCTGAGGGTCTGCAGAGCTGTATCTCATATTCTCACTCCTCTCTCCACACCTCTCTTGCCCAGCAGTTTTTTCCATTCTTTAATACATTGTCCTCAAGCCACTGCCACTATCATTCATGAGCCAGTGGCAGATCAATCTTGGAGGTGTCTGGAGCTGGCTCTGTTGGACAGGGGCAGCTTCTGGCATCTCACAGAAGCCACCCCTGCCCCCACCCCCCTACCAAAACCTTTCCATGTAAATCGAACACACACCCATTTTCCAGCATTTGTAACAACCAGAAAAGACCAAAACCAGGGCTGGTCATATCCCACTGGCAAAAAGCAAGTCAAGAACAAACCTGTGTATTAGCAGGAACAAAACATGTGTTAATTACAATTTCTGCTAAACAGACCATGCCATGTGCTACAGACAGTGACAAAAGAAACACCAGTTCTCCCAAACAGTCTGATCTTTGGGGGGGAAAAAATAGCTTCTGATCCAGAGCTCCTGTTTGGATAACCTGGAGTGTGACCAGCACATACCAGCTAGGGAGATATCCATGTCCTTCCTGGAAGCCCCAGGGCATCCAGCTGTGCTTCCTCTTGTGGCCAATTGCTGGTGCTACAAAGGAAAACAAACTAAAATTTATGAAGGCCATAAATAACCAGTTGGTATTAGGGAGTACAATACTTCATGTTCCTTTGAAAATGGTTGCAAAGCCCCTTTAGTCATAGTAATTATTTATCAAATAGATTCAGGTTTAAGGAGGTCATATAATGTAACAACAGCAAAAATTGCTTGTTAAGTAATGAGATATTGCTGAGTGAGCTAAGCTTTCCATTTCCCATCTGTAAAAGCCCAGATAATTTACCCAAAAGAATGTGAATTACATTTCCTGCTGGGTTTGGATTTTCCCCCCATTACTTTGATTAAACTGGAAAATTTGTGACAGAGGTATCTGAAGCATCTTCAAACCTAAAAAGGGAATGATTTATTCAGCTACTCCTTTTCCACCATAATGAATTGGTTTATGTAGTTTTTAAAACTCTGTACTGTCTGCTCAGAAATCAGAATAATGCTGAAGAAGTCCTAAAAATATTCACAATCTTCATGGTGGTTCCCTAAATGTTTGACATGATGTGGTAAAGTTGAATTTCCCCTGCTGTTGACTTCATCTTGGCACAGATGACATTTAGTGAGGGAGTGTGTTGTTCAGTTGAACTATTTCCCCCTGTGGCTGCAGGAGCCAGCTTTGTTGATTTGCTGTAATATTGGGTTTTCGCTGCCTGTTTTTGGTAGCCAGGGGCTACAGAAGTGGCTTCTGTAAGAAGTTGCCAGAATCCTCCTCCATGTCCAGCAGAGCCAATCCCTGGTGGCTCCAAGTTGAACATGCCACTGGCCAAGGCTGGGCCAATTAGAAATAGTGGTAACACCTCTGTGATAACAGATTTAAAAAGAAAGAAAAAAAAAAGAAAAAGTTATTGCACAGTTGTGTTTGCAGACAGAGAGGAGCAGGATGAGAACATGGGAGAGGAACAACTCTGCAGACACCAAGGTCAGTGGAGAAAGAGGGGCAGGAGGTGCTCCAGGTGTGGGAGCTGAGGTTCCTCTGCAGGCTGTGCTGAGGACCAAGGTGAAGCAGCTGTGCCCCTGCAGCCCCTGAGGATCCACGGGGGATGCAGAGATCCACCCACAGCCCATGGGGATCCACGGGGGATGCAGAGATCCACCCACAGTCTCTGGAGATCCATGGGAATGCAGAGATCCACCCCCAGGCTGTGGAAGAGGAGCCCACACCAGAGTAGGGGGATGCCTGAGAGGAGGCTGTGGTCCTGTAGGAGACCCATGGAGAGAGGAGCCCTGCTCCCGTGTTGGAGCAGCCTGTCCTTGGGGGACTGCACCCCGTGGAAGAGTGACCCACGCCGCAGCAGTCTGGGAAGGACTGTTTTCCATGGGACTCATGTTGGGCCAGTTCACAGACAGCTGTTGCCTGTGGGATGGACTCACACTGGAGAAGTTAATGAAGAACTGTTTCCCACAGGAGGGACCCCACAGTGCAGCAGGGGAACCATTCCTCTCCCTGAGCAGCAGGAGAAGCCATGGCTGATGAACTGACCATAACCCCCATTCCCATCTCCTTGCATCACTGGGGTATGAGGTAGAGCTGGGAAGGAGGGAGGAGCAGGGGGAAAGGTGTTTCTAAGGGCTTATTTCACTTCTCATGATCGTGCTCTGATTTTGTTAGCAATTAACTTAATTCATATCTCTAATTAGAGTCTGTTTTGCCCATAACTATATTTGATGAGCAGTCTGTCCTGGTCCTTAACTCATGAACCCTTTGTTATATTTTCTCTCCTCTGTCCAGCTGTGCAGGGAAGTGACAGAGTGACTTTGGTGGCTGCCTGGCATCCAGGCAGCATCAACCCACTACAGTTGTCGTTTGCCTTGGAAGGAGTTTTCACTTGCAGCCCTTGCACTGATGTATCTGATGGGTGTTTCCCTGTCTCTCCCTCTCTCACAGCCTCTCCAACCCTCTCTGTTCTGGTATTACATGCTGGAGCTCTCCTTCTACTGGTCACTGGTCTTCACCTTGCCCTTTGACGTGAAGAGGAAGGTGAGTGGCAGTCTCAGTGGAGGATCAAGTACAAACAGGACACAAGCTGAACACTTAGGAGAGTGACCTCTAAGAGTATGTGTATACTGCCAGTCAAGGTTTTGTGGCACTCTCTCCTTGCTCATTCACAGAAATTTTCATTCCCACTCATTGGCTTTCTCTACTCTGGGAAGTGGATAACACCAACCCTGATACAGAAAGGTGCAAAGTACTGAAGAGTTCTCAATACAAATTTAAAATCCAAATATAAAAATTGCTCTTCTGTAGCTCTTCTAGGCTGCACTGATCATAGAGACAGGAAAAGAGGTGGTTCTCTGCCAGTAGAACTGCTTGTGTTCCTGGTGCCAGTGTCCCAACAGACAGGGTGCAGCATCAGGCTATGGCTGGTGGAGAGAAAGAATGTTCTTTGTTGTGAGATTCTCAGTTTACACCATGATCTCTTAATTCCTGGGTCTCTTGGTTGCCTACATTTCTAGAATGCATTTGGTAAAATAATTACATGGGTAAGATTTGTATTGGGAGGTTTCTTAGTCACTAGGTAGAGAGATATCATTGCTACCTTCAGGAACCACGCTTGGACTGGGGCAGGAGGTGCATTATGTATTCTGTTCTCTGCTGTTCCCCTTCTCATCAGGATTTCAAGGAGCAGATAGTCCATCATGCTGCAACCATCTTCCTGATCAGTTTTTCATACTGTGCCAACTACATCCGCATTGGAACACTGGTGATGGTGATTCACGATGCTTCTGATTGCTTCCTAGAGGTGAGCCAGGCAGAGCCTAATCAGCAATGGTGCTATTCAGTCACAGAATGTCCTCCTAGCACTGGGGTATTCCACAGATCCCTCTGCTGCTCTGCTGACCCAGCCAAGGGTGCCCAGCTGAGAGCTGGGGAGAGCTTGGTTTCTGCATGCAGGTTGTGTCATACCTGTCTCATTAACCCCCTGGAGTGTGTGCAGATGCTGTCTTGGCTGCTGTTTAATTGTTCTTTCTCCTTCCAGCCAACTAAGATATTCAATTACATGAAGTGGAAAAAAACTTGTGACAGCCTCTTTATGATCTTCTCAGCTGTTTTCCTGATCAGCCGCCTGGTCATTTACCCCTACACGTGAGTCTGCTGCAGTGAGGGGACATGGAGAAGCTGCCTTCTGAGAGACAGGACAATTATCTGGGTGCTGCAGCCTTTGTTTTTTGTCCTGGAGCATGTGTTCCTCCCCTTTGCACATGGGTGCCACATGGCTTGGGGTAGACAAAGCTGCTCTTTGGGTTCACAGAGCACTCCTGGAGCCCTGGGCCAGTGGCTCCATCCCATGTACTTCGGGTGGGGAACTGATAGCTGGGATAGGTAAAGATGGAAGTGGCTGATCTGAAACTTCCTCTGTGGCTACAAATTTCTGGGACTTAATTGTGGCCCTGTTAACAACATGCTTTCCCTCCACTGCAATCCCCTCTGTTTTGCAGAGTGCTTTATAACACCTACTATTACTCCATGGAGATATTCCAACCCTTCTTTGGATACTACTTTGTGAATGTTCTCCTGCTAATTCTGCAGCTGCTCCATATCTTCTGGTCCTGCCTAATTATTCACATGGTCTACAAGTTCATCATCCAGGGCACGGTATGCATCAGTTTGTTCTATCCTTTACATCACACGGGGAGGGAGGGTCCACCTAGGCTGCTTGAGAATACAGGGGTCCATCTGGCATGGATTCCTTATTGTTCTATTGAAATTATACATACGTGTTTCCAACAGTGAGGTGGAAGGAAACTCAGTTATATTAGGGAAAGTTGACCAAAAAAATTTTTATGAATCGCTACAATATTGGGTCCACTTCTGAAGCTTATATTCAACAAAAATATGGATTGGACTCCAGGAGAGATGTTTGTGAACAATGCCAGTGACATCTGAGTAAAAATCCCAACGCTTTGTGCAGTGTGATTTGCATTTGTAACAAGACTGAGAAATCAAGGAAGAGGGAATTGTCATGATTGGTGAGGTCAGTGCAGAAGTGTTTCCCTTATTGTACAGAATTTTTGATTACAATTGTGTTACTGTGCTGTAGATTTCACACAGTAGGTATTTCTGTCTAAACCAGCTGCCTGGGCTCTTCTTCCAGCAGTGGAGGGCAACAGGCATGCCCAAATTATGATCCATTCCATACTTCACCTGGCAGTGCTGCTCAACAGGCACAGAGCAACCAGAGATGAGTATTTGAGCTGCAGCTGTATAAACTGAAATGGAATGCATCCCACATCCCACTCTTTCTGGCCTGTAGTATTTGCTGGGAGACCAAAATGCTGCTCAGCATGAAATTCTTCCCAGAATCAAAGCCGTGACTGGCCACATGCCAAAGATGCAGTCCAGAGGTGACCAGTCAGTGTTGTGGGAAGTGACCTCAGAGCCCAGGATGATTTGTTTCATTAGTATCCAACTGAGGAATTCTGTCTTACGGGAACTGAGAGCAATCATTAAAGGCTCCTCTTTATCCTGATTGTTCCCATTTTCTTTATCTGCCTTCTCTTAAGGCGGCACAGAGCAAATTACTTGCAGATCAGGAAACAGGGCTGGAAATGAAGACACAACTTTTTTATTGTTTTCCTAGTTTTTGTGGGGGCTGAATTACCACTGCAGTTACTGTAGTGTAAAATGATAAGGTAATAAATAGTCTTATCAGAAAGTAAAGAACCATCAGGAAGGAAAATCCTGAAGCATATCCAGAATTTTTCCTATTTTATCTAAAATGGATATGCCAGATTTGATATAAAAATATATTTGAAAACTTTACTGCTCAGTAAAAAGCACAAAAGATTTGTCCTAAACAGATCTGTTTCAATGACCAAAGCAATATCAGCAAGCATACAGGACATTCTCTCTTTGAGAATCATGAAACTTTTGCTGCAATCAGTTCATGTTCTCCTTGCGGGCCTTTCTGGTCTCCACGGTTTTCCTCTCTGGCTGCAGGATAATCTTTACCACCTTCTCACATGATGTTTCCTAATCCCAAGTAATTAGAACTCAGCCTAGATCCTGAAGTACAAGTTTCATTCCCTCATAGAGGGAGCAGCTTTATAGTTCCTTTGGGAATCTTGCGAGATTTAAGGCCTCAGTCACATTCTCTGGCTATAAATGGATATTTTTAGAAATATTGACTACAATTTGTCCTTATGCTGCAGGTCCAGACTCCTGTATATTTCCTGATCTGTCAGTTCCAGAGTGATCCAAGGTGCAGGTTGTTCACAGCAGATACTATCTCCCACCCATATTGTCCTTGGAGGCAGATTGAATTCAGTGCAAATTTAGATTTTTACAAGTCCTGTCTGCATCTGGTTGTAGTGATCTCTGGAAAGAGCATGAGCTGAAATAGAGTTCTCAATATGATATGGGAGATCTCAAGAAGAATGGACAGCCATAAACGGAGACTAAATTTCTGGGCAGCACCTGATTTTCCCCTGAGCAGTTTCTAAATCTGAGGTCACAGAAGGGGTTTGCAGCTTTCCTTCTGCCAAACAAAGGAGTGTGACACTGAGTTTGTCCCCAATATTGGCATCTTATATGGCAGAGTAGAGACAGCCTGAGAAGCCAGGAAGTGCTGAGCTGCTTTTTTCTAAGCTGTCATTTTATCCCATTATTTCTTTTTTGCCTTCCTTTTAAGGCAGTTAATTAGATACTTACAAAAGTGGATTACAGGTTTCTCAGTCAATAAACAGCAAGAGGAAAAGCCTGACCATAAAACTGAATGTAGTCAGAGTGGAGTGGCTTTGTGTTAAGCCTTTGGGAAGCATGTTTCCAGCCTGTTCCAAGTGTTGTCAGCCTGCAGCCACCCAGGCCATGTAGGCAGAAGTTAGCTCCTTGTCCCTTTTGGAAAGTGTAGAAGAGCTTGATTAACTGCCTCCCCCATCCTTCTCCCTCATGCTGATGAGCAGGGCAGCAATATGGATCTCCTCAGGCTTACACAGTTGTCTTCAGTCCTGGGCATTTGTGGTTTTGTACTGCTTTGCAGCCTATAATTCCTAATTTCAGGAATTATGTATATCAGGAATATGTATCAGGATCACAGATGAGACTCCGTGAGACTGAAAGCAAAGGGGCAAGGAGAACATGTTCCCAAGGGTAACGTAAAAGCTGAAGGGACAGAGCAGGACTGTGCTGAGTGGTTGAGGCAGCAGGTGCGTGGTCAGCCCGTGGCTCAGCCATCACTGCTGCTTGTGAAAACTGCTGCGTTTATCTGGCTTCTCACTCACCTGCCTTTGCAGATGGAAAAGGACATGAGAAGTGACACAGAAGAAAGTGACAAGGATGAAGAAAGAGATAAAATTAGAGAAAAGGAGAAAAATGGGATCACGTGTTTCAGCAACGTCACAAGCAACGGTTACATCCAGAGGAGTGGATCTGAGCCCCTGGACAACAGAGCCCATCGTGCCAATGGCCATGCCAAGGAAAGATAGCTGCTGTCCTGTGCTGCTGGCCTGGCCTCCAGCAACCCCAGGCCACCATCTGTAGAAACAGTTTTGCCCACTGTGTAGATAAACTGGAGTGCAATTGCAGTATTGTAGCTGAATTCCTGCTTCCCATAAACCGAAGTGTTTATAGTCAATGAATATTTGAAGGAAGTTTTTTGTCTTCCTTCAGTAAAAGCTTACTATAGGTTGTAGCCTCAAAACAGATAGCAAGGGATCAAAGTGGTTTGACTTGTATTAAGACTGTACCATAATTGTTGTCAAGTGTGTTAATCTTGAAAAATACTTTAAAAATAAGAAGGTGGATTAACTCCAGCAGTGTCAAGTTTTACCCACCTTTGATAGGAATCTGTTTAGCCTGGATCAGCCTCTGGATTATTATTATGGCTGACAAGTGACAAATCTTACCACTAGGTAAGATTTCTTCTGAGAAAACAGGTGCCCTGTATATACTTACAAAATTAAAACTGAGCATAGTGAAATGAAAGCTTTTGGAAAGGCATAAGATAAAACATGTTCTTCTCAAAGGAAGTACTCGTTGTGCCAGTAACCAGTTTTTGTAATGGTATGGAATCTCAGTCCCTGCTTACTGCCCCTAAGGAGGGAACTCCAAAGCCCAGGCTGGAGGAGTCCCCACACAAATCACATTGGAAGAGCTGGGAGATCCAGACAGCTGTTTCTCAACACTTAGGAGTTGGACTCGATGATTCTTGTGGGTCTCTTCCAACACATAATATTCTGTAATTCTGTGATAATTGGAAGTTGGAAGCACACGTTCTGTACACTGCGATTTGAGTGTATGGTCTCACCTCTCTGCAGGTGCTGTGCTCAGGAGGGATATTGAAATGACACATCATTTTGTACTACTGAATGTAAATGTTCTTTATAAATTACTTTTAAAGGTTTGATCATCTGGTCTCTTTTCTACTTCTTTAACCAGCAGGAGGTAAACCTGGCTGGCTGCACCTTACAGGTGGATGTGTGATGAGGGAGACCCATGTGGGTGCCATTGCCAGGGGGAAGATGTTGCCTGCACAGGACACACAGCCACACTGAGCCATGCCAGTAAAGACCTGCAGCTGCCGCGTTTGTCTCCTGCTCAGTAAGACTGTGTTTGGCCCTGGAATAAAGGACAATGTGGGACACCCCTACACTAGACCTAGGGGCAGGTCAGGTTGCTTGGTACTGCCAGGACAATGGCAAGTCCAAGATGGCAACACTGGGGTGGTGCTTTGGCCTTGCAAGGGTAGAAGGAGAGAAATTAATATCTCTTCTTCTTTTTTTGTAAGGTTTTAGGAGGCTAGGGAAGATTCCTGTTGTAAAATCACATCACCTCTCCTCTGAGGAGCAGAATACTTCCCAGAGTCTGCATAATGCCTAATGGAGCCAGTGTATGTTAATGCCTGCTGGATTTGATCCTCAGGGCTTTGTTGTGTCCCTGAAGATTGAGATAAGCTTGTTAGGAGGCAAATCTGATTCTTGTGAAAGATACCTCAATGATACAGGAGAGTTGTTGGATTTGAGCAAGAATTACTGAGTGCTGCCTTTAGCTGAGCATAACAGTGATGAGTCATTGAGGCAGATCAGCTGATGAATTTGTTTTCTCACATCAACTTGCTAAGGCTTGAAGAAGCATTCAGCTTCCTCCCTGCACTGCTCGACCTTCTCTCTTTGTTTGCTCCAGGGCTGGGAAGCTTCTGAGTAGTGTGATAGTGTTTAAGAATTTAGTGTATCCATCCCCTCCTCTCTTCACACATGGGGCATCACAGCTCCCCCCACAGAACAGCTATTGTAGAAAACTTGCAGCAAGTCTGCCACTTGTCTGCTGAGAAACCCAGAAGAGCATATCATGGAACCACCAAATCCATTAGATTAGGGAAGGGCTCTGAGATCATCAAGTACAGCCTGTGACCAGTCACCACTTTGTCAGTAAGAGCAGAGTCCAGTCACTTCTTAATTACCTCCAGGGACAGTGATTCCACCACCTCCCTGGGCAACCCATTCCAATGTTTAACAACCCCTTCCATGAAAAAATTCTTATTGATGTCCAACCCATACCTCCCCTGGCATGGCTTGAGTCCATTTCCTCTGTTCCTGTCACTTGTTACCAGGGAGCAGAGCCCAATTCCCACCTGGCTGCACCCTCCTGTTAGGGAGTTGTAGAGAATAAGAAGATCACCCTGAGCCTCCTTTTTTCCAGGCTGAGCCCCTCCAGCTCCCTCAGCTTCTCCTCACTCCCTAATGGAGAGTTCTATTAAAAAACAATTTAATGTAATCACTATAAAGCTTTGTCAGATTAATTATAAAATGCTAATGAGCTCATTTTTGCATTAATTTTAATCACGGTTTATAAACCTTAACTCTTGTCATGTTATTTGGAATTTATGCAGAAAATGAGAATGATGGAATTGATGCCTTCAAGCCTGTGACTGCCACTTAACAGCTGAATGGTTTAATGACATTATGGAGTGAACCATGTGGCTGTTTCTTTATCTTTACAAGTTGAAACGTCTTTTATCTTCAGGTTTTCCATCAGTAGCTGATAATTATAAGCTAAAATAGTATCAGAGATGAAAAAAAAAAGTATTTAACTTTTATAGCCAGATATTACATCTCATTGTGTACAGCTGGCAAAACTTAACCAGGGAGAGGCTGTGCTTATTTCTGAACCTGCATTTAGAATGAATTGGAGTTTTAAAATGGCCAAAACAACCTGGGAGTTCACAAATGCAAACAGAGTTGATACATTTTTTTTCAAATAAAGGTGTACTTTGGGCAAAGGCAGACAGGCAGAAGCAGGCCCTGGGTTTATTTCTGAACCTGCATTTAGATATGTCTGAATTGGAGTTTTAAAATGGCCAAAACAACCTGGGAGTTCACAAATGCAAACAGAGTTGATACATTTTTTTTCAAATAAAGGTGTACTTTGGGCAAAGGCAGACAGGCAGAAGCAGGCCCTGGGAGCCGAGCTCCTCCTCCCTCACAGGGAATGACAGCTTCCAAAGGGCTCAGTCCTTCCTCCCTGCTGTGTTTTCCAGGAGGAGCTGGTTGCACTAGCCAGGCAAAGTGACCTTCCCATCAGAAAGGTGGAGACCTGGGTCAGGCACTGGCAGGCCCAGGATCACCCCAGGTTGATGAAGAAATTCCGTGAGGCCAGGTAGCTGGGTTAGCTTTTGGTGATGGAGACCTCTGACAGGTCTGCACATCATCAATACCCTCTGTCCTGTCCTTACCCCAAACACACTCCCAGGGAGCTGCTGTGGCTGCAGCAGAGCCTCTGTCCCTCAAGGCTCGGTCCCCTTACTGCACCCAGAGCCACGCTGCAGCACAGCCAGCTCCCACCCTCCCTTCCCATTTTTACCTTTGAAAAGTTTAATTTGCTTCAACAGAGTCTACTGGCCTTGATGGAGAACAGGTTTAAATCTCAGATGCTCAGAGGGATTTTGAACACCAAAGCCACTTGTAAAATGTGTTAAACTTATTTTCAAAGATGATCTTGATACACACATAAAATTTTAAGATATTGCCAGCGTGGATGGTTGGGCAGAAAATGAATTCATGAAGTGCAGTTAGGAGGCAGTGCAAGCCATGAAAGAGGGAGGTTAAAACTGAACAACACAAGAAAGCACCAAAATCTTCACAGCTTTCCTTTTCCCTAAGTTGTTTTGCTTTCTTATATTAAATCTTGCTGCATATCTTAGTAATACACTCAGTCAGGGTGGAGAGAGGAGTCACCAAGTGTCTTGATCAAGAGAATCAAGTTATCTCTGGTTCTCACCTTGAGGTTTAATGCTATATGTACATAAAGACCCCCATCAGGTAAGAGATCTACTCCTCTTCCCCCTATGAAAAAGAAATTATTCAGTGCTTGAATCATGTTATGTTTTGAAAAATATATTCTCCACCTGAAAGCTTGTGGAATGTTTCCTACTGCAGCATTTCTGAAGACAGTAATAAAATCCCCAGTATTCCTGTGCCATCACTGAAAAAGATTCGGTGTGGCAGTGGGTGTTAGTAGGAGTTTTGAAGCTCCTGTTGCAATGAGTCTGGGTATGTTTGGTCCCTTGACTGTCTGGTTGGGGTGGCAGTTTGAAGATGTTTGGTCTAGGTTTTGGGTTGTCTAGCCATGGCAGTTAGCATAATTTATGCCCTGAGTCTGGAAAGTTCCCTGTCAGTCAAGGTTATTCTTCTTTAGTATTGGTTTGTCTTTCCCGCTTTTAGCTCATGACCCTTCCCCCCCTCAATTTCCCGCTCTCTTTGGCTTAAAAGCCGCTACTTTTCCCTGCTTCCCCGTTCTTTTGTCGGTGTTTCCCCTCGGCTCCCGGCCACTCCTGCATCCCGCCCGGTGCAGCGCCAAAGCCAGCAGCTCCGACCCGCCCGCTGCTGCGAGAGAGACGACAGCCTGCGCAGCTCTGCAACAGCTGTCGTCCGGCAACAGGAAAGCCCCGCTGCCGCCGAGCCGCTTTTGTCCCGGTGACGGGAAAGCCCCGCTGCTGCTCTGCGCTGCTCCGCGCTGCCGCTCCAGCTACGCGGGCTGCTGCTGCCCGCTCGGCTCCTGCACAGAGGGACTGCCACCGCTGGCTGTGCTGCTGCCCGCTCGGCTCCTGCACAGAGGGACTGCCACCGCTGGCTCTACTGCTGCCCGCTCGGCTCCTGCACAGGAGGGACTGCCACCGCTGGCTGTGCTGCTGCTGCCCGCTCGGCTCCTGCACAGAGGGACTGCCACCGCTGGCTGTGCTGCTGCTGCCCGCTCGGCTCCTGCACAGAGGGACTGCCACCGCTGGCTCTGCAGCTGCTGCCCGCTCGGCTCCTGCACAGAGGGACTGCCACCGCTGGCTCTGCTGCTGCCTGCGAGATCGTGTCATCTGTCTCGCCTCGGCGCTGCTCCGCGGCGGGAAAGAACGACTGATCTTACACCGTGCTGCCCCGGCTCTGCAGACAGAGAAGTTAGGTTCGCGCCGGTGACCGGCGTCCCTGCTCTTCCCGTGACCGCGGTGTGGCGTCAATTGGGTGTCTTCTACTGTCTGGGGTGTATAAGCATTTGATAGGTGATCTACAAACATCCATCCAACAAAAGGAGATGGGGAGAGGCATCTTGGTAGTCTTACTGCATCCTCTTTAGCACCGATGGAATGCCCAAGGAATCTGGGCAAAGCGTGGATCTCAGCAGAGCCTGGCTGGGCAGTGGGTACCCTGATTCCTTACAGCATATGCTTCTATGTGCCATGAGAGCTGAGATTCTGCAGATCTCTGTCCAAACAAGCACAGGTTCCTCTGTGGGCATCCTGGGCACAGCCTGGGGAGCTATTTCAACTCTGGAGGAGGTCTTAATTCCTTTTTTTCTGTTTTAGTTGGAGATTTACATTGTATTTTACCTCATTCTTCTCTGGACTGGCTCTTCTCCATGATGAAGCATGTGAGCAGGGTCATGCTGTGAAATGACACCTAGTGACACCTTTCAAGGGCTCTTTGTTCATTGCAAATGAGGCTGATGGTCCCAGACCACTTTAAAGAGGCCATCCAAAGACAATGCATGGTCATGACTGTGGGTGCAAAGCCAGAGAAGGACAAATTCAGGGGTATGGAGCAGAATCATTCCCAATCCTGATTTAGAAGTTCCCTTTTCCCTGGGTGGAGCTGGCTAGGTGTCAGTGATGTCACTCTGTTGTTCTTGTCTTAGATCCTGGTGTAAGTGCTCCACACAGATACCCACACACAGCTTCTGCATCTCAGACAAGAGCAGACCCTGTCCTGACTGGCTGCTGCCCACTGCTCCAAAGACTCTCCCTATGACATCTTGTACATTCACTAATGTTGAATGCATTTTGCTAACCAGTTTGTCCAAAGCTCAGAGCCAGATTGTATCTAGCATGGGCACACTGAGTTCTTGCAATACCTCTTCCCATGGTCTTTGCATGTCATTAAAAGGCTCTGTGTTCTTACTGCTGCCTTTTCTCTGCACAGAAGCTCTGGTTTTGGGACCACACCATGTGCTGGCTGAAATTTCCACAACAGGTGAGCAGCGAATACATGGAATCACAAGATAATTCATATTGGAAGAGAGATAAGAAAGATTCTTGTCCAACCTCCTGCTTGCAGCACTTAGCTGTGAGATCAGACCAGGTTACCTAAGGTTTTTTCCAGTTTAGTTTTTCCAGTTTAGTTTTGAAAACCTTAAAGTATGGAGACAGCACCACCTTATGACAAAAAGCTTTATACTTATAACTCATCATATCCACCTGTCTTATTTCAACACCCCTCTGGTCTCTCGTCCTCACATTATGCATTATGCAAACAGTTTGACACCTGCTTGATGAGCCCCTCGCATGTGCTCCCTCCCACATGACAGCCCGTGGAGAGCTCTGCTCAGAGCAGGAACATCTCACTTTCTCTGTCACCTGAGTCTGTTTGGAAGTGGCAGTCTGTGGCCACAAAAGGTGATCAGGACATCTGACACCTCAAAGCAGGGATAGAGGTGGGGTGTCAGACTTCTGAAGAGGGGAGACCCCAGCTGCTCCCAATCCTGTTGCAGACAGACCAGGGCTAATCCTGGCTTTGGACTTGTCAGCACATCAGCAAACAGTTCAGTCAGTGGGAACAGGAAAATTTAGGCATGACCAGCACCTGCTGTCCCAAACATGGGTTGAATGAAGGGGAAGACTCTTGACCTCTCCTGAACCCAGGGCTAGGCAGGGTTGTCACACTGCCTGTCACTTGTCTTACAGCCTCTATCACCCATATTGGGCTGGTTCTACCTCCTGGAGCTCTCCTACTGCTCCCTGATGGCCACCCTGCCTTTTGATATGAAGAGGAGGGTGATTGGCCACAGCACAACACAACCAGATGGTTCAGTCAGCCCCCTATGCCCCCGTCCCACTGTCAGCTCCCTGGGGGTGCAAAGGAGAAGGCACAAGTGCTGCTATGAAGACCCTTGAGCATGTGAACCCCTTCAGCTCTCATAGCCCACCGCTGCACCCTGCACTGGGCCCTGCTCATGTGTGGCACGGCCTTCCTGTCTGCTAGGCTGGGGAAGTGCTGGGGGTCCCATGGCTGCTCAAGGGACGGTCACTGGGTGAACATGGCATCACGGCCTTTCCCAGCTCTTGGGTGCTGCCTGCACCAGAGGGCTGTGCCCTCTGGTGGGAGGGACCTGGTCTGCCCTGATGAGGATCCTGTAAATGTGTGACTTTTGCAGCACAGTCACCTGAAGAAGCACAGGCAATTGAAGAGCTCCTCCATTACAGCCCACAGGTAGGACCTGCCCCAGGCCAAGGGCATCTACTGTCATTACAAAAGGCCTTCAATACACAGCGGAGGCATCTGGAAGAAAATATGGGGTATTAATAGAGCAATTTTGGAAGGGCAGATCAATTCACGAGAACTCATAAAAATCCATCTTCCAGCATGTTTGCACCTACATATGTCTCATGGGTATTTATCTGGGTTTCCATAAACTGGGCATAAAGGACAAAATTCTCTTCTTGAGATTGTGCAGGACCTCAGAGAGCTGTAGTGTGGTGGGGAGCACTGGTGATTTGTGGAGGTGTTTGACACGTCCTAGTGAGGCAGCAGCGTGCAGGATCAGATGCTGCCAGAACAAGGTAAGACTGACAATCTCTCTTCCCATGACAGGACTTTAAGGAACAGATTGTCCACCACATCGCCACCATCACTCTGATCTTTGTCTCCTACTGTGCCAATATGATATGGTTTGGGATGATAGTCATGCTGGTCCATGTTGCCTCTGATTATATTTTAGAGGTGTGTTACCCTCACCTTGAAATCATGGAATCACAGAATGGTTTGGGTAGGAAAGGACATTAAGGCCCATCTCATTCCAACCCCCTGCCATGGGCAGGGACACTTTCCACTAGATCAGATTTCTCCAAGACCCATTCCACCTTCTCCAAGGATGGGGCAACCTCAGCTTCTCTGGCCAACCTGTGCCAGGGCCCCACCACCCTTTGAGTAAATAATTTCTTCCTAACATCTAATAGAAATCTCTCCTAGTTTAAAACTGTTGCCTGTGTAAAAAGTCGCTCTCTCAGTTGCAGGCCTGTGCTCGTGCCTGTGGGTAGCACTGGCAGCTGTGCACGTTGCTACACATGACACATGTCAATGCAGTGCCCATGAGTGGGACGCATGTAAGTTGGTGACAGAGCATTTAGGAAGTATTTGTTCTGCTCTTGGGGAAATATAATTGGATCCAAAGAGACTAGGACACATCCCTACAAGCCTGGTCATCCTTGCAGGATGTAGGAAATCCCTCAGCCCCTAGATGGAGAACACAGTCATAAGGGACATACAGAAATTTGTTTCTCTACAGCTTGCCAAGATACTCCATTACCTGAAATGGAAGGGTCTGTGAAGCAGTATTCAATGTTTTTGTTGTGGTTTTCATCATCTCCTGGCTTGTCATTTTCCCATTAATGTGAGTACCATTTTGCTGTCCTCTGCATGTGGATATTATGCACTGTTGTCGTGGTTTGACCAGGAAGTGAGTTTCTGGGAAATTATGGACAAACCAATCAGTGGCCAGATTTGGAAATTGGCACCTGGTGTGGCCACTGGGGACCTGGATATGCCTCTGAGAACACACAGGGGTTAAAAGCAGAGGATTCCTAGAGGGAGTCTCTCTTTTGAGTCTGGCCAGTGAGCTGATCTGACCTCTCCCCTGCCCAGCTGCATCTGGGTGCAGGAGGGGAGGCCATGCGGCCTGAGGGAAGGGAGGCCGTGAGGCCTGAGGGGAGGGAGGCCGTGCGGCCTGAGGGGAGGGAGGCCATGAGGCCTGAGGGAGGGGAGGCCATGCGGCCTGAGGGAAGGGAGGCTGGAGTCCAGGCAAGGTGCAGGGGTGGAGGAGACCTGGGATGGTTTGGGCAGCCCCACCGGGAGAGAATGATAGAGACTGTGCAGGCTGGAAATTTGATATCTCGTGCCGGTACCACAGCCAGGAGGAGAAGTGTAGCCATGATATTATGAAAATCCTTTGCTGGGATTTTTCCTCTCCTGAGAAGCTGAGGAGCCTCAGGAGAGAAATGTAAACAATTACTATCTGCTGCTGTGGAATGCAACAGGTGCCTCTATGATTGGTCCATGTGGATTGTTTTCCATTGATGACCAATCACAGCCACCTGTGCCAAGGCTGTGAGCAGTCACAGGATTTTTGTTATTCTATTCTGTTCTCTTCTAGTTGTAGCCTCCTGATCTCTCTGTTCTTTAGTATAGTCTCAATGTAGTATTTTAATATAATATTTAACATAATAAATCAGCCTTCTGAAATGGAGTCAAGCCTCGTGTCTCAACACGCGGAGAGTCCTCAACAGCCCACATGGAGCTGTGTTTCCTGGGGAGGCCCATGGTGCAAGAGGGAGACTCCTCTCTCCTGATGAACTGGGGGGAGCTTGTGTGAAGGAGGGGATTGGACTGAGAATTGAGTGTTAGAGGGGTGGTAGCTGGATTGGGAATTACAGTCTTGTCATATGGTGTGATGGTGTTAGATGGGTGGGGGGAGGAGGAGTGTTTTGGATGTTTTCTATTGTGGATTGTGTGTGGTCTTTTTTCTTTTTTTTTCCCTTTTGTCTTTATGTTGTAGATCAATAAAGGTGGTTTTTTTTCCCCTCCATTCCCAAGCTGGAGGCTGCTTTGTTCTGTTTCCAGGTCACATCTCACAGTAACCATTTTGGAAATATACCTTTCATGGGGGCACTGGCACTGTGCCAGAGTCAATCCATGACAGCTGTTAGTTTCTGGAGAGGTGTGACCCTCCATGCTGAGGGAGGAAAGGCAGAGAACAGAACACAACAAGTTCAAAAATTAATTCAACTAGAACAGAAGAACCCACAGGGAAAAAAAACCCAAAACCCTAGGGTTTTAACTATATTAATGAATTAATTCTACTAATTAATCTAGAGCCACAGCCTCTGCCTCTCTATTCTCACTTGAATATTATAAACACTGGTTTCTATTAGAGAGAGAAGGTGCAAACCATACTGGTTAGAATTTCCCAAGAAATTCTTAGCAGACTAAAAAACCTTAAAGCTCAAGGTCTACTAAGACACAATTAGTATAGAAAAAACAGCACGGTAAATTTAAAGTTACCTACCATGTATCTGAAATAAAAGAAGAAAATCATGAGGGATTCAGGAGGTGGGATAGTTGACATGCTGGGAGGGCATCGGCAATGATTCCTCCAGAAGCCACGCACAGGTACCAGCCTTGGAGAATGGCTTTTGCATACACTCATCTGGCAGCCCTTCCAGCCTTTAACTGGGCTGAAGTTGTTCTTTTTTCTTTACCTTTGCCAAGTTGCCTGGAAAAGCTGATAGCAACTAACTTCCCATAAACTTATTCCACAACACTAGCGTTATAGTCTAATCTTTCAAACCAAACATTTCATTTGTTACACCAAGAAAAATTAAAAAAATAGGACATGCTATACACACACAAAGGGATAAGTCTCTGATGCTGTCCTTTGTCCCTGCCCTTGTTGCATACCACCACTGAAGATGCTGAGTTTTGAACTTTGGTCATATTGCCATTTAGTCTGGATGCCTATGAGGCTGACTTTGCATGACAAGTCCCAGATTCTGGTGGTCATATGTCTGCTTTAGAGAGAAAAGCAGTAAAAGCTTGAGGCAACTGCTGTGGTGCACTAAGTCCCCGCTGGATGATAACAGGGGCGCAACTGAGCCTCCTTCCGAGCTCTGCAGAATCCCAGCTGCCAGCGGAGGTTCGGCGTGGAAACACAAGGGCAGCAGCACGGGTCCTGGGGTGGAACTGGGGTAACTTTATTCTATGCCAAAACTCCCACGTCCCCAGAGTTCCAGGACCCCGAACTGAGGGCAGACAATAGCTTATAAACAGGGGGAGGTCTCAATCTTTAACTAATTGGGAGAACTGGGGGAGGAACACAAGGTGGGGAATACAGTGTGTAAACCAATGAAGGACTTCAAGGGAGGAAAACAGCTTCAGTAAACTAATGGGGTTTCAAAAGATAAAAAACTGATAGGGAAGTTTCTAAGGGGAAGGCAGGTTCAGGGAGGGATTGACGTTTAATGAAAGGAGGAATAAGGAAGGTTCTGGGGAAAAGGTAGGAACAGGAGGGGTTAACAACTGGGAAGGGGAGGGGGTTTAAAACTTGTCAGGGAATAGCTAGGTAACAAACAGAAAAACCAACACTTAACTAAACTAAATAACAATAAAAAGCAAGTCTAATTTTAAAAACATAAGCTACAAAACGGGAAACCTGTGCCTCTAAAGGCAGGGAAAGGACAACATAAGAAAATTACAAAATCACAAATTGAACAGCAAGCGTACCAATAAAACAAAAAACCACACTGCCACAGGCAACTTTCCTGAGAACAAGCACAACTTCAGTTGCCTCCACTACTATGTGTGAAGTCCCAGAATCCCAACCTGCTGTACCGTAATGTAAGGACAAAGAAGGTAACAGGTGTCCTGAATCAGACTAAGGGTCCACTGAGATCAGCGTGTCTCAGCAAAAACAGCAACAGCAGAGATCGAGGAAAACAAGTGCAGAGCAAATACATACTCTGTCCAACATGGTTTCCCAGAATACAATATATTAATGTCATAGGTAACTTGTGGAGGAAGACACATACTAGCAACTCATCATTTCTCTCCTGTGTTGAACTGCTCTCTGTCCTGTCTGCTTTCCATTTTCAAACCAGTGCTGTCCTCCTTTCTGTTCTCATCACTGAAGATATAGACTTTCTGTGACTTTTGCTAAAAATAATGTCTTGCCCAGCTGCACCCTTAACTCTTCCCTAACTTCATTTTAAAAAGCCATTATATTTTTATTTAGGTGAGGTCTCCTTATGGGCTCACTTTTGTTCATTGTTCCTCTTAAGATTTATTTTAGGAGAAATGTTGCCAGTTCCTGTCTCTTCTAAAGGAGCATTGCAGGTTTCTGATAACTGACCTGTCTGCAAAGACTATTGTATTGTTGGTGATTTTAATACAGAGCTTCTGCAGGTCCTCTGGGACTTGCTTTTGAGAGCTGGGCACAGCGTGAAGCGTGGTGGTGCCATCCTGGCTCAGCTCAGCTCTGCCCTGGGAACACATCAGCCAAGTCATTCTGCAGAAAGACACCTGATCCTTGTAAGCCTGAAGATACTTAACCTGCTTTAGTCTTGTGTCTTCTGATTTGCCTCTCCCTGTCTTTCCCACAGTGTATATTATTACTTCATTACAAAAGTTTCATTGTTCCTCATAAGCTGTCTCATAAATTCTTTCCTGGTGATCCTGCAGTTGTTACACATTTTCTGGTCCTATGTGATCATTTGATCTTCAATGTCATCCTCTGTGATGAGGTATGAAAAGTCTTTGTCTCCTTTGTGCCACCACCGGTCATGGGAGAACATGAGGTTCAGGGTGACTCCTACCTGCCTGCAGGAAGGAAGGAGAGAATGAGAAAATCTCATTTCTCTCCTTCCTTCCTTCCTTTGCCCCACAAACAGCCCAACAGCTTCTTAAGGCGTATGTTTCAAGTTGTATGGATACCTTATCTCACAAAGATCAGAGGAGCAGGAGCTCACTTCTAGCTTGCAGCTCTGCTCTCGTGACATGGGAACCATCCACAGACCTTACTCCTCACTGCCTAATGGCTTCTCAGTATGTAGGTTCAGAGAACTGGAACCAGTTGGTATGTCCAAAGAAGACTAAAGGAAGGAGCAACCAGGTAAGCCTGGTAGATAGCACACCGTGTATTTGCATCTCTGAGTTTTGGGTGCCTTCCACAGGCTCTTGGTGGATGCCAGAGTTTGTATGGGGATCACTGGGACAAATGTCATCAGAGAGGGCAGTTCCCTAGCCTGCCTTGCTAAACGACGGAGATGACATTGTGGGAGCATCTGAGAAGATTCGTGAAAGCTTTGAGGACCTGTGGTCAAAAAAACCCTCTCCACCATGTTGGCACTATGCCTTCAACTTTCTTGATTTACCCCTTCATTACAGCTAAATTACAAGAAAAAGCAGTTTTTCTGAGGAAATTACGGAGGACATTCTACTAGTTTGAAAACAAACCTGTGGGAGCTTCCAAGTCAGAACTACAATTTAATAGGAAAATTAAAATAAATGTAGAAAACACTGGCTTAAACTGACAGTCAGGATACAATCTGACACGCTGTTGGTCAGGGTGGTGGTAGCAGTCCAATTAAACAGTGGCTGCAGTCCTCTTTTAGTGATAGATGTGATTCTGTTGAAGTGCTGATCCTGCAGAAAGGTCTGGTCTTCCTCTGAAGGTCCAGGGAGGTTATGTAGCTCTTCTCTTCTTGGAATTCAGTAGGTGAGGCTCCTCATGGTGTTCCAAACTCAGATTATATCCAGGTAGGAATGCTTGGTTCCTCCCTATGGGTGGAGCATTTCACAGTGAGATGATGTAATTTATGAGTCATGCAGTGAGACTTGATGACCCCTTGGCAGAAGATATCCCCAGGAGGGTGTTGTCAGGGCTGAGTCATGGAAGAGATAAAGAACACCACCCTGCCTGTTTTTAACAGTTTATGAAGATAGTGATAGAACACATACTTTTGGTTACATCTTACATTGCAACCTAAGACAGACATGCTCTTTGAGATTGTAGACAATAGCAAAATAAGGAGTGCAGTGCATATGCTTGCTGGACAAATCTGTGCTGGCTTTCACAACTTCAACAGTAATAAATTGCATAGAAAAATATGCTGAACAACTATATGTAGAATAACTTATTTTCAGGAAATCATATTACAAGACACATTACCAGGGTGAGAAAAATTGGGTTAGAGTTAACGTCTGTCAGCTTGAGTCAATCTCCCAATGCAGAGACAATTGAGGCAATGGATTTAATAACATGATCACCCTCTTACTTTTATTTTAGATAGGTTAAGCCCCGAGAACTGTGAATGAATAGAGGACTAGTCTTCTCAAATACAATTTAAACTTTCTTTTCTTCAGAATAGACAAGATGTCAGAAGTGACACCAAAGAGAGTGACAAGAGCAAGGAGAGGATCTGGCAAAGAACAAAGAAAAACACAGGGCTTGCTGCAAAACACCAGGATCCAGGCAGTCTTTGGAATGCAGGAAGGCTGAACAGGAGCTGGGGGAGAGGCTGGACAGGGCTCCACTGCAGTGTGCCTGAGGCCTAGGTGGTGATTTCATCACATCTATAGGCAGTTAAGTCACTTCAGGAGCTGTTTCCTAGAATTATTTTGTTAGCATTATTCTTTTATTACTACTCTATAATCATTAACCCAGGAAGAAAAGAGTATACCAGCTAAAGACCCACTGTATAAAGAGACGATGGGTGGAACAAGCTGCTGAAGTTATGACTTCTATCTGTGATTATCTCAAAGCCTTCCCAAAAGGTTCATGAGATAATAAACTAAAATGGGGAAGATTTAACCAATCTGCAGTTTCAAAAGACAGTGGCATTCATTGCCAGCCACCCCATGAAAGGACTTGCATGTGACAGGCACTGGTTTAAATGGCAAATAAGCTTTCACTTGGGAAGTATAAAATGGTCAGGCTCTGGGATAAACCATTTCTGCAGCTAAGGCCTGGCCAAATGATACAAGCTGTATTTGCTGTATGAATTATTCAAAATAGCTCTAATGTCTAAAAGATTTTGCTTACTGAATGTCCACTCAGGGAAAAGTCTCCTAAAATTGAAAGGAACTGAATTCTTCCAAATGCACACTCTTCCACCAGAAATTATACATAATAAATGGAAGCTTTCTATATGGATGTATTAATTTTGTTGAGATTTCATTTTTAAAATTGCAAAGTAGGAGCATTACAACACTATCATTTTACCTGGACAGTTTAGGAATTGGATGATGCTTCACCTTGTAATTTCTTGCATAAGTTCTAATTTTCAGAATTATAGTACAACAAAAAATTTTAAGTAAATGTAAAAAATTAATTACACAAAAAAGGGGTCTGTTTTATGTACACTTTGTATGAAATCTTTTTACACTAGCAGATCATATGTCAGTAGGAAAATCTTTGAACCTTGCTGGCAACCTGACATCACATAACTCAAACGCTGAACCAGCTTTCCCTTGAAGGACTCTGGAATTTGGGTCTCCAGGCTGCAATGCTGGAAGGCAGGCAGCCACCCTCTCTCTGTGGAACATCAGCCTTGAGCAGGATGTCACCTCACCCCCACTAGCTGCCCCTAGGTGAGGTGAAAGACCCTTCACTGGGATCCCTGGGTAAGGGTTCGCCCATGAATTAATGTACCTTGTCCCATCAAGTATGATGCTTTCTTTTAAAGCCCCAAATGATACATGAGAATTTCATAATTCAAAAGACTTACACAGTCTCCAGGGCACAAGGGCCTCTGGGCCCAGAGAACAGGCCCAGGCTTGGCTGCTGCAGCCCCATCATGGGACTCCCAGCTCTGGTGGGGAGCTGGCAAGGAGAGGAAGCCAAACCAGACCTAGAGGGCTCCATGTCTGCTGGCTTGCTGTCCTGACAGAGCTGTCACAGTGGCAGGGTTGCTTTTCACCAACACCTCTCAGTTTTTAAGGCCTCTCCCCTTCTCTGGAGATGTTAATCATTCAGCTCAGGAGCTCTCTTGCTGTGTCACATCAGAGAACAGGCTGACAGCACAGATGACAGCAATGCTTGCAGTGCAGCCTCCCAGCTCGCTTCCTTTGTGCCAGCGGGGCAGTCACTCCCTCCCACTCCACACTTGGGAGGCCTGAGTGCCCTTGGAGATCAATCCGTACTGCCATAAGGCCATAGTTCTGCCCAGGACATGCTCTTCCTCCTAAACAGTCTTTAATTACAGCCATGTGCAGGACCCTGCTCCTTGCACCCTCGTTTCAGTGCTTTGGGATGGGCATTTTTATTCTGAGTCTCTGCAGCCGTGAACCCAAAGACGACTAAGGAAACTGAAGCCAGATTCTTAAGACTCATTGTGCAAATGTGCACATACCTGAATCCATAAATCCAGAAGAGTCGCCCTCTTTCTGTGGTGCTCTTCGGCCTTGAATAAAGATAATTTTAGCCATAATTAACCTGTGAAACTTGCTTATTTCAGGTTAAAATGGTACTGATATTAAGTATGGCTTGACAGCAATGCTGTTTGGGTTTTGCTCTGTCTACAGTACTATGGGTTATAATCCTGCTGAAGATTTCCTTGACACTCATTTGATTATTTAAGTCCTGTGATATTGTCTAACAATGAGGCAGTGATTTTCCAGCTGTTCAAAGGACAGAGAGACAAAGGTTAAAGGTCAGAACAGCCCTTTACTGAGCATCAACCCTAAGGAGTTTATATACCATAACAATATCAATCACTATTTTCAATAATGACCTGCAGCCTTTATGCACACAAAGTTTGCACTGGCTTTTGCTTCAAGTTCATTTGTCAAGTAGAAAAAAAAAGGTAAAATTACAAAGGAGCAAAATTTTTTAAATGTCACAGGCCAAATTGATGCAATCTAACTCCCTTCAGCTGTAAAGCACATGATCTTCCACTCTTATGCCCACGTATCAAATCTTCGCACAGAGACACAGCCATGAACAGGAAGGGGGCAAGGGAGTTTGTTATCTATGACCTGGCACACATCAGTGTAGGGATCAAAGAGAACCACAATGGGGAGAGCACTGTTTCCCTTCCTCTGTCCAAGGAGATAAATTTGTCCATTCACGGTGCTGCATCCCATGAAGAACTTCTGGGTCAAGCATTCCTCATTCACCTGGGTCCATTCATCTGTCTCCACATCAAATCGAAAAGCTTCCCCTCCTACAGTGTACAGAGCCCCATTCAGGGACGTGATGCAGAGGTCATACCTGAGAGAGAAGAAACCCTTGATCAGAATCAACAGAAAGATCTGGCCCCTGAAATATTCAGGGTGACCTTGGTCCTCAAATCAGAAATCCTGTTTAAACAGAGAATCACAGAAGTGTTGCAGGGACAGGACTTACGGATTTCTACATTATAACCTATTCTTGGAGCAGGACCAGCCTAGAATCCTTCATCTTCTGCCAGGTCCCAGATTATTTCTTACCTTGGAAGAGGGGAGAACGAGATGACATCCCAGCTGTCTGTCTCTGTGTTCAGCCTTTGCACTCCATCATACACGTGTCCATTCTCATCCAGGCCACAGACCACATAGATCCTGGTTCCCACACTGACCGCGTCGCCCCTCTCCACAGGCTGAGCCATAGGACTCATGCTTTCCCACTCTGACTCCATCAAAGCCATGCGCTCCACTGCTGGGATTATCCCTTCATCTGTGCTCCCTCCGAGAACATACAAGTAGAGCCCTACTCCAACTGCACAGTGGCTATTGCGGGACTTTTTCATGGCTGGCCCTTCCAGCCAGCAATTGTCCAAGCAGTTGTAGATGAGTACCCAATCCACACTGTACCATACAAATTCATCCCGGAAATATCCTCCTGTCACAAAAAGGAAGCTCCCTGGAAACACAGCAAAGAAAATACTAGTCATATGAAGGCTAAAAATTGCTCCCAATACCTGGGGCTCTCATTTCAACCTGGGCTGTAGTGATAAGGTGCAAGATGAGGAGAGAAAATCACTGCTCTAGCAATCAGTTTGCAGTATTTAATTCCTCATCCACACAGATACATTAGGCCTATAGTATGCAGCCAGTCTTTCCAAGCCTATTCCCATTTTTGAACAGAATCATGGAAACACTGCTTGGAAAGAACCTCAGGGATCTCACTTCCAAACTCCTACCAGAAATGGGATTATTACCAACACTAATACAGGAAGCCATAGCATTGAGCTGGCTTGAAAGTCTCCAAGCATGAAGGTTTCCCAACATCTATGGATAAGTTTAATGTAATGGCAACTATAAATCAGAAGTTGCCTGTCATATGTCTAATTCACTACAAAAGAGAAGGCCAAAAAATACACTGCTTAAAACCAAGTCCTTAGACTAATTCCAGATAAAGCCAAGGTAAAGAGCTTGGTAGACTGCATAGTTTCTGCTGTAGGAGAATAGTGTTGTCTAGCATTCTCCCAGGACTAAGGAAGACAAAACCATTCTTTGAACAAATATGAACACCACTGTGAATGAGGTTTTAGCAATGCTGAGCACAATCATTTTACAGCAACAGTTGGCCTCCCTGCATTTGGGACTCAGTCTGAAGTTCTGTTTGCATCTGCTCAGTCTCCCTTTTCTGTAAGTTACCTACTGCTGCCACTGCATACTGGGTGAGGTTCCTGCGCTGCAGTGGAGAACAAGCCTGCCAGGTCCCTGTTTTAGGTTGAAAGAGAAATAATTCTTGCTGTTCCTTGTCATGCTTTCCTCCCAGGACATATAAGGTGTCATAGCTCCGGCCAGCATAAGGACACAGTTTCGGATTTTGCCAACTGGGTGGAGGACAGCTGTCTAACTTCTTTATTAGCCTGGAAAAGATATCTGTCTCTCCAGCACGCTTGCTGCGTTTCACCAAGATATCAAGGAAGGACAAACTCAGAAAAGTGACCCTGACTTCGCCCACCAAATCCAGAAATTCTTCCTCTCTTGTTGCTGGGTCCTCCATTATCCAAATCATAATACTGTCAAAAACCACATCCTCTCTTGAAATGAAGAGGTCATCACTCTTCAGGAGTTGCACCAGCATTTCCTTGGGTAATGCCTTAAATTCTTCCTGGCATATCACATCCCCCCAGTGAGTGAGAGCCACATTCATAGCAGACACATACAACTCTGTAAAGGCAAATTGCTGTGAGTAGGTCATCAGGCCCAGGCAGTTTGAAACATGCAGTTCTCTCTCCAGAAATTTCTCACACAGCATTTTCACCCTGTCAAACTGAAAAAAATCAGCTGTTTCCAGTAAGCTGGTCACATTTTCTTGACCTATGAGCACTTGGGCTGTGCGAGTGAACTCAAGTAGTGCCTGAAATGGCACTGCATCGATCCCTTTGATCACTATGTGCTGTTCAGAGCTCTCTCTTGCTCCTCCAAAAAACATGGCTTCAAAATATCGACTGTGCACTGAAAGCACCCTACGGCTGACCTGGAAGAGTCTCTCTCCAACCTCAAGAATTGTGTCTGCAGTCATTTCTGCCTGAGGTCCCAGCTCCTGTGGCTCTTGTGCAGGCTCCATCCTTGTAGACTGCCAGGCAGTTAATTTTAACTCAGTCTTATGCAGCCCTTTCCATCTCTGGAAACACTACCCCTCTAGCTAGGATAAATATGAGATAAGCCAATCTTGTCCTAAAAATAGAATGTTTTCTACTCTCGTGCTTTGCTCTTCTGTCTTTTCTGCTACTTTATGAACAGCATTAGCAGAACAGCTGTATAACCTAAAAAATAGAGATTTGACTGGCATCTACTTTTACCAGGTAAGGCCACAACAAATAAGGGGAGCCATTAGCCAAGCAAAGAGCCTGGGCTAAAAAGAAAAAACAGGAGAAACAACCAAAAGATTCCTAAGCACTGAGTAAATACAAAGAAGTTGTAGAAAACATTGAACCCATTTGGAAATAAGCAATCATTACCCCATCTTTCATTAGTTCAAGCTTAACCAAATACCAAAGTGATTACAGTTTTTATTACATATCTAACTTCATACTTTAGTAAGAAAGAAGAGGAAGGAGTGAGCCCCCATTCAAACCCAGATGGCTTCACATGTTCAGTCATCCTCAATCTGAAAGCACTAAATAAACACAGATGTGGGACAAGCAACAGCTAATGCCACAATGAATTTTTCCAAAGCTATTAAGTGAAGAGACTTGCATAGGGACCTTGAAGTAGAGTCCTGCACCCAAACAGCCCATACCAGCAACTCACTCCCAGTTCTTGGCAGAGCTCAGAAAACAGAAGCTGTGCCAGTGTCTCACCATGCCATCACAAAAACTTCCTTCCTTATTTCTAGCCTGGATTGCCTTTCTTTTAGCTTAAACCATTGCCCCCTTGTCCTACCACAACAGGCCCTGCTAAAATGTCTGTCCCTTATAACTTTCATATTCTTCTTTTCAGGTACTTGACTCCCAAGTATAACCTCAAAGTCTGTGCTGCAGAAAAGGAGAGCCATGCAGCTCACAACCAACCACCTGAGCAGGAAATGTTGGGAACATGCCCCTTTCCAGAGTTTACACACTTGACCCATGGCTTCAGGCAGATCTCCCGACACTGAGAGCCCAGAATCCACCCCAGAGAGCCCCAGCGGGTCTGTTTCTGAGCTATACTTAAGAGTTCAAAAATAGTGCAGCACGTTATTGGCATCAATGCCAGCAACCTTTCTCCCACTAAAAGGACAGTTCAAGACTCTGCTGAGGCTGATGGTAAGCAAATTCTACTCCTCACACTCTAAATAAGGATTCCCTTTTGAATTGTGCAGTTTTACAAGCAAGTTTTATAGCATTAGAAAGAAATTAGGTTGTGAGGAGCACAACTTTATAGACAGCTCTGTGAGCCCCAGACTGAAATCCAGACGCACCCAAGTTCACACAGGCAATACATCACACCTGGTCCCTAGTTTCAGAGCTCCTGGAAGCCAGATTCACTAAAATGAAATTTACTCTAAGTTCCCAGCCATTTTGGAGCTGACCCAGGAAAGGATGTGTGGGAGAACAATGCTGTGGCCAAAATAACCAATACAACTTGCCATGTGTTCTTGACAACCTTCAGGAAACAAAACTGCTGCTGCCAGCAAAACAATTCACTCTGCCACAGCCTCCTCATAAAGGGTCCTCTATAAAGGCAAGAGCAGGTGGCAGAAGCAGGTTAGAGGCTTCAGGCACATACCTCAACCAAGTAGTCTTGAAAATGCTTCAGAAGAGGGACAAGATGCTCTCCGGCCTTTCCCATCAATTCCCTGTTTGAAACACAGCTTCTGCTCTGGTCCCTCCTGATCCTGCAGTGTTTATGCACCTCCTGAACCAAATTAATTTAGATTTATGGCTGGAGAACTGTAATGTCAGCTTTAGTGCACTTTTACAGACTAAAAACCAGACATTTAGAAATAGATTAATTTGTCTTTATTTACTCAGAATTCCTCAAATCTTGCATTTTCTGCAGTATAAAAGAAATAAAAATGTTTACTTACAAATCAAGTTATAACAAGCAAAACCACAAGTGGATAGCTACAATATAAAAATACGCAGTACTTCCAGACACTGCCTACAATTGAACAAATGTTAGGATATTAAATATTCTTCCCCTAAAATTTCAAGTAACAAATAGCTACCTTTAGGTCACTCAACCAAGAATTATCCCACAAGTTAGATCAGTCCTCTGTAGAAATGTGTGAGCCTGCTAACACATAGATCACAGTCCACCAGTTCTGGAACAAGTGCTGAAAAAGACCTTCTTGGCTACATCCCTTGTAAAGGTGAGGACACTACACAAGAGACTGAACTCAACAGCAGAAGACTACAACATAATGCTTCTCCAGTTGAGCACTGATATCTAAGAGGAAGAAAAACATGTTCTACTGTATTTAGGCTTTAATTTGGATTAAAGGCATTTTAATGTACTTAAAAATGGAAAGAATATAACCAATATTCAGGGCATTCATAACAAATTTTATGGGGTTGTTTCAAAACACATAAGATCAAGAAGGTCTCAAACAATTCATGACAATATGTTCTCTTCTGTCAGCTCTAAACAACATAATTACACACTTATTTGGGGTGGGAGGAAAACATGGACATGTTTCTTACATTCCCCATCCTCTCATCATTTATGAAAGCCACAAAAATAAAAGTTGACTTTTTTCACACTAACAAATACACATTCAAACTTCCCCCCCAAAACAGGAAGCTTCTCACACATTCATACTTTTCTCCAATGACTTGCACCCCTGAAATTTTCAGAGACAATCCAAAGAAATCATTAGCCATCTTGCTGCTGAATGAAAGGGTTTGGAATAGCTTCCATTCCATCCTGTGGACAAATCAGAACCACAGAAGTCCCTCTGCAAACCACAAGTCCCAGCTGACGTGTGTCTTCTGTTAATTTAAATTGATCATCCGGATCTAAAAAGCAGAGATCCATGGTTAGAACAGGAAAATAAGAAAAAGAAACCAAATTCCATCAACTTCAAAAGGCACAGACATGCATGTTCTTTCCTGGCATAACTGCTTTGTTTCATTGAACACATGGACCATATAGGTGATGCAGCAGTGACATCTGATGTTTTCAGGACCTTACCTACAGTGAGCAATAACAAAATTTGCTTTGTATGCAACAAAAAGCAGAACTCATTTATTAAAGAATTCAAAGGTCTTTTTCATGCCTCTAACTAATAGTATACATGCAAGTGATTTAAAAAAAAAAGCTCTTAATCCCATTTCAAATGCCATTATAGACAAACACTTGGAGATTAAAGCAAATCAGGAAAAGACCCTGACTTCTCAATGCACTAGGGAAGAGAGCACCAGTCCATTCTCAGACCAGGCCAAACAGGGCAGTATTAGGACAGACAAAACACACACAAACCAGCCAGTTCTATCTTCCATATAGAGATAGCTCTCTATTCAATAGAAATGAACAACACATTTTAAAATTCTTTTAAAGATTAAATTCAAAGCTTGAGGTGTTCCCTTTTAAACAGGTAGGAGAATACTCTCCAAAAACACCATCTTATCAAATGACAGGTTTTGTATCAGTGAGGAGAAAGAGACACTACTTGACTCAAGTTTTAGAGGACAAGGGCAGCCAATGAAATAACTATAGCAGAGCTCAAGCAAGGACTACCAGGGATGTTCCATCACAGGGAATGTGCTCAACCTAACTTCTGCTGCAGAATCACCTTTAAAGGTCATCTAGCACAGCCCCCCTGCAACAAGCAGGGACATCTTTAACTAGACCCAGTTGCTCAGAGTCCCATCTTGGAATGCTCCCAAGGATGGGGCACCTACCACCTCTCTGAGCAACTTCAGGTTCACATAAAAACACAGATCCCAGTGTGTTTATCACACTCATTACACAAAAAACCCTCTTCCTTATATCTACATCTTCCTTATATCTATATCTTCTGTTATATCTACATTGACCCTCCATTATCTCTTGCCCTGCCACAACAGGGCCAGCTGAAGCATTCACCCCCTGGCATTTCCTTGTTTGTAGCTTTAAAACTGAAAGGCCACAATACTATCTCCTCAAAGATCTCTCTTCTTCAGGGAACACCCCAGCTCTGCCAGCCTGGCTCCAGAGCAGAGGGGCTCCAGCCCTGGCAGCATCTCTGTGGCCTCCTCTGGCCTGGCTCCAGCAGCTCCACGTCCTCCTGCTGCTGTTCCCCAGGGCTGGGGCAGCTCTGCAGCTGGGCTCTCACCTGAGCACAGGGGCAGAATCCTCTCCCTGGGGATGAATCCCCCATCCCTGGTAGGGATGCAGCCCAGGATACAGCAGGCTTTGTGAGCTGCAAGCACATATTGTCCAGCCTCTCATCCACCAGCATGTCCAAGTCACTCTCAGCAGGGCTGCTCTCAATTTATTCATCTCCCAGCCTGGGTCTTGCTGAACCTCAGGTTTCTATGGGCCCTCTTCAAAAACTTGTCCAGGTCCCCCTGGATGGCCCTGTCCTTCAGGTGTGTCACCTGCAGACTGAGGGTGAACTCGATCCCACTGCCTATACTGCTGATGGACATGAAACAGTACTGGTCCCCACAGAGATCCCTGAGGGACACCCCTGTCACTGATGTTCACGAGGACATTAAGCCATTGACTACTACCCTCTGCATATGACAATCAAACCAATTCCACATTCACCACACAGCCCACCCATCAAATCCATTTCTCTTCAATTAGGGAGAAGGATGTTGTGGGGTGTGGCAGCAGCTCTCAGGCCACAGAGAGCAACAACTTTGCCAGGCCTTTCTGGGAAAAGGCTGTGAGAAGATCAGAGAAAAGAATGAGAAACAATTCTTATCTTAGCCTGCTGCACCTGTTATTGTGAACATGTGGAATGTGTTATGGAGATTTGTTTACCAAAAGGTGATCTCTTAATTAGCCAATGGTGATAGTGTTTGGATTGGAGGACCAATTAGGTCCAGGTGTACCGTAACTGTCTATAAAAGCAATAGGTTTCTTAATAATTATATACATATAATAAAGATATTAATCAGCTTTCTGTGAATCATGGAGTCAATGCTAACTATTACCCTGCTGGTGGCCTGCTGCTGCGACAGTGGG